TTTCTAACTTAATTCTATTCCCCTTTGGAATTCGACAAAATCAAAGAATTAACTTATAAACAATAATTCTTATAAATTAAAGATCCTAATCGTCACCTCAATATACTAGGAACCTATTTCCTCAAACTATCAAGACTCTATAATCATCGATCCATAAATCGAATAACTTCAAAATCGCCTTGGAACTATTTGATCCTATCGGACACCTCTCTCGTTCACTGCTACGAAGCTCGTTGCTACCAGGAGTTCACCTCAGGCATCTTCACTTGACGTTCTGTTTTTATACTGTGAGGTGACGTCACAATTCTGAATGAGATCACTCCCCTCATTTATATACTTATTCGCTAACAATAAATTTTTTTCTATTTGTCTGGCAGCCTATTTTCCGACAATACTCGCTAACCTTTTACATTATTCCTTTTCACAATTTTCGGGACGTTTTTATTCTTTAAGGTTTAGCGAGTCCCTAATTCGTGTTTGTGGGGTCTCTCCCCCCCTTTTCTCATTGCAGACTTACTTTTTTCAGCTCGGGAAGCGCAAGTGTGCGCGAGTTTTTCTACGGTGCTTTTCTTTCGTCGGTGAGTTGGTTTCTCTTCTATTTTTAAGTTCCTAAGGTGATTGGTGAGGAAACCTTCGTCCTAACTAAACATAAGCCCCAAACAAAAATATAATAAAAGCAAAATAAAAGTAAAATAAAAATAACGCTCGGACTTTGGTTCCTTACACCATGAAGACTCTATGTATAAACTATTTTGTGCCAGAAATTTTTGCCTGTTTTGACAGGTGCCTGTCAAATGCAGGTGGTTGCCTAAGCAGTTTTTACTGTATATATATGCAGAAATTAGAAACATAAGTACACATACATTACTTCATAATTGTTATAGTAAATTAAAATAGTATACAAAGTACTTGGTAAGTGATTTTATACTTTATTAAGCTGTAAGTGAACAGTTGCTTAAACTTAGACATGTTGGTGTATGGATCTCTGAAATACTTTTCAATAGTAGGTTTGCCTGTATTAAAAAGGGTTATATAAACATTTTAAGTGCTTATAACATTCTGTGGGTTTGTCATTCAAACAACATAACTTGCAATTGTTTCAAAATAAGTTTATCTTAATCAGCTTTAAGGTAACTCCTATATCTATTACTTCTAAAATGAGTCCGGAGATCATGAAACACAGTTCACATGATTGCAGCCTGCTGTAACTGGTGTGTTTATTATGCAATTAAAGTAACTTCTATGGTTATTTAACAGTTCGTAGAACTCAATAGATTGAGGGTAAGTAATTACTTACAAATCAGATTAATGACTTTTCAACATACTATAAGTAATTGTTTAGAGATCATACACTGCAAAATGTGACAAAACAGCAACAATAGAATAGAAGATATTAAATAAGAAGTGAAATACACCTAGAACACCATTTAGTGACCAAATCTAGAACTGTTCATTTTTCCTCCTGTAAACAAGAAGTTGTTTACAAAATCTGTAGTATCCAAATCCAAGTTATTTGTAGAAGGTCCAATATCTTTTGTAAATAAACATATCAAATCAACATTTCAGTTTTTGCTCAATTACATATTACAATATATATGTATATAATGTAATATGTCAAAATATATATATATATATATGTCAAAATTTGTGTAAAGATAGAATTTCAATTTTGTATGAATTTACAAATAAAAAATATTTTCAAAAATATGACAACAATACAAAAAAAAGTAATGTTTATATATATTAATAATACAAATAATAATTAAAGATGTTTTAAAAGATGATATATTAATAATAATTTAATATTTATTCAGTAACAAGATATACATGTATATAATAATCATTTACTACTAATTTAATTATATCAAATTACAATAATAATTTTGTTACAATTTAATACTTGTAATATTAATAGTTTTAAAATTATTATAGTAATGTATACAAATGTCATTATTAATATTAATATATATATATTTTGTGTGCATAATTTTGACTAAATAACTCACTTTTTAATATATAAAATGACATCATTTTAACCATCATTAATTATGTTGTTATATTAATATATTTGTTTTTTTAATTTGTGTTTTAAAGTTTAAATCTTTGTTATAAAATGTAATAAAAGAGATTTTTATGTTAAATAACATGATCCATGTCTTTGTCACTGAACTAACCAACAAACAGTAATGGCTAATGTTAATTCAGTTACATTTCTTTATAGTAAGATATCTTTCTGCACATCTTGATATTTCATCAGTATTCAAAACTCATCAAAATTGAATTCTATTATAAATAATTTTATTGTGAGTAGGAAATATCCTTAACTGCTATTAAATGAATTTTTATATTTGTTCGTCATCATGTTGTGTATAATTTATTGTTATTATTCTTGTAAATTCATTCTCTGTGCTTAAAACTAATAGTGTTAGCATTTTGTTACTCAAAGATATATGAAGTACCAAAATTTGGTTGTATGAATAACTTGTAGATTGATGTTGTAAATCAAGACGTTGTTGTATTCATGTTTGTTTGTTCAATTTTATCAGTTATTTTGCAACTTTTGCATGTTTATTATTATAGAAATTTAAAAATTTTAAATATGGTGTGAAATAGGTATGAGAAAAGTTTTTTCAATTCATTTATTTATTTATTTTGACATTGAATAATTACAAATAGATACATGTAATTGTTATATATAATTTATGCAGTTAAGTTTCTTATAAAAATTACCATATAATACAGTATATGATATAATTGATCGGTTAAAATATAATATAAGAAGTTGATCTGTAGTTTCAAATAATTATATATTAGAAAGCATTAAGATATGATGCATTTATTATTATTTTGTTTATACAGTAGATCTATACTTTACAGCAATTCATTTTACAGTGCTCTGCTTTTATGGCCAATATGAGATTTTTGTTATGACTGTATGATATGATATATTTTTAGCTGATCATTTTCATGTAATATTTAATAGTTAAAACTGTATCCAGCAATGTAATAAAACAAGGGTGGTCAAACCTTGTGATGTCAGAAATACTGAAATTGCATCCTCTATTGGAATGCCTATTGAGAGCCACATCATCTATTTATGGAATTTTAACTATATATATATTACTTATTGATCACTGTTACTGGTACTATATGACTGACTAGTTAATTAAACAATCATTTAACTCCTTCAACTTCATGAAAGTACCCTAAGTTTTCACTTGTCTGTTTGAAGTTGGAAGTTATGCTTACAATTTCTGTGTATATTACACTACATAATAGTCAGAAAAACTTACAAAAAATATAATATTTTTGTAAGTAATTTGTATCAAGTTTATATAAAGAAATTGTAATATATATTGGAGCTATTAGGTTGTTCGGAAAGTAAGTTTGTTTTTTTACCACTAGACAGAGACAGATTAGTCGTATTTTTCCCGCCATTTTCATTTTAAACCATATTATCATTATATATTTTGACAGCTAGCATTTTAAGGCTTATTTGTAAAAAATTTTGTTTGATTCTGTGCAATTGTTTATTTTTTGTGTCCCATCGAATATGGAAGATCAAAAGCACCATTTTCAGCATATTCTACTTTTTTATTACCAAAAAATCAAAATGCTGTTCAAGCGAAAAAAAATTGAGGTACATGTATGGAGATGATTGTTGAGAGAAAGACAGTGCCAAAACTGGTTTACAAAATTTTGTTCTGGCAATTTCAATATTGAAGATGCACCACGTTCTGGATGGCCAGTTGAAGCCAATGAAAACAAAATAAAGGTACTGATTGAAGCAAACTGCCGAATAACAACACGTGAAATCACTAAGAGATTAAATTTGTCAAATTGAACTGTTTATGATTACTTGAAACAAATTGGTTTCGTTTCAAAGCTTGATATATGGGTTCCACATGTTCTTAAAGAGAGATGCTCTCTTTGGTGGGATTTTAAGGAAATTTTTTTTTGGAGCTTTTACCAGACAATTTAACAATTGATTCGAAAGTGTACTGCCATCGAGTAAACAAATTGAGTAATATCATCAAACAGAAAAGGCGGCCAGAATTGATCAACAAAACAGGTGTAGTGTTTTACCACGATAATGTCAAATTTCACACAAGTTTGGTAACTCGTCAGAAACTGTTATAACTTAGATGGGACGTGCTATCACACCAACCATATTCGCCAGATCGAGCACACTCAGATTATTACTTGTTCCGGTCTATACAAATTTTTTTTAACTGTAAGACATTTACTTGAAATGACAATGTCAAAAATCACTTGGATCAGTTTTTTGTAAGCAACGATCAAAACTTTTATGAATGTGAAATCATGCTACTACCAGAAACAATGACAACAGATATTTGACCAAAATGGTTGATATATAATTCAATAAAATATTTATTTATTATAAAAATATTGGTTTTTTTTCCCACAGAAAAACACAATATTTTTTTCCATTGAAAAAAAAATGAACTTACTTTCCGAAAAACCCAATACATTAAGAGTCTAGAAGAGATGCATGATGGAGATTATATTATCATGGTCACCATGATGATATAATTTTGATTTATAATGCTGAATTTATTGGAAGAAGGATAGCTCACTGGTGTCTAGAGAAATTATTGTTAAATGATAACAGTTTATTGTAGTTTTTGCATGATCCATGATTGACAATTACGGTAAGTATTATTTTAAGTATGTAAAAGCTTACTGGTTAATTTTGACTTTTGATTATTGATCATGCAAACTGATTAATGTTGTATAATTTTTGATGTTCCTGTTATGTGGAATCTATTTTTAATTCAGTAATATAGTTCAGTACTTTATAGTCTAATGCATAACAATGAAATTGTAATTCTATTAAAAATTCTAGTAAGACAATGTATTACTCGTTATGTTTAAATTCTGTACCTTGTAATAATGATGATTGTTTATTAACATTACGGTCCTTCAGGTAGTTCAGTTGATCCTTCACGAAGTTACTAAAGTATTATTGATGGTTAAAATGATAATTAAGTATCATATTTAATTATCATCTTATACTTTTCATGAATTGAATAATTGTTAGATTGTAGCTACTCCCAATACAAATCCCTTTGAAGAAGTTGAAAGTACTAACCCATTTGCAGAAGACATGGAAAAAGAAATGACTGAGAAAAAAGAATTAGTTGAGACAGTAAGAAAATGTTTTTCACTTTTTCCATTCAAACAAACACTGAATTTAAGATGATAATATTTTTAAATTTTGTTTTTAATTAATTTTAGTCATGTTTTCAACATCGAATACAATAAATACATTTCTCAGCAAATAATTTTAAATCTAGTCTCTTACTCTGTTTTATTTTAAATTTTAATTTAGTAAATTTGGAGTAATTAATAGGATATTATGAAATTAAAATTTTTAATTATATTCTCTTTATTAATTTTTAAAATTTAGAAAAAATTAAGAGAGTGCAATTTTTAAAAATTACATTTTGATAGCTTGGAGAAACTTAATAGATAAAATAAACATCATTAAATGTTTAAATCAGATTAATCTGTGTTTATATCTTTATAATAGTAGAGTAAAAGTATTAATTATTTTATTTTAAGGTATTTGGAATATTAGAAATTTTATTATTATTATTATTATTAAAACATTTTTGCTTATATTATTAACATATTTTTATTATTTTATATTATTTACATATTTTTGGCTGTATTCTTTATTTTTCTTCCGTAAGGAATCCAATGTTATGAAGATAAAATTGAATCCTTTTCAAGGATACATTTCTCGATGTTTTGAACCACATTTAAATATTTACGTGGAATCTCAAGACAAGTAAGTGTAGCCTTTCATTCCAAGAGATCATAAATTTAATAATGATTAAATTCAAGTTCTACATGTTTTTATTTTCTTCAATTTATATTACATAGATTGTAAAGTAAAGTAAAGTAAAATGCAAATTCTTGTTGAATTATATAAGTTCAGAAAACTGATTTCTTTCATGAAATAGTTTTCTTTTTTAAAAAACTTAAAAAATTAAAATCAGGATGATTTAAGTACAGTAGAACCCCTCTAGTCCGCCCTCGGCTAGTCCGTCACTCCGGTTAATCCGACCGTGGTTGGAGTCGAGAAATGTAGCGTTCTGTGTTCATTACAGTATATGTTTTACATTGTGTGTGTTTTCAACATGCCAGGAGTGAAACGTAAACACGTTACTCTTTCATTAAATGAAAAATTAGCAGTGCTACAAAGACTGGACAAAGGGAAGATTGTTTATTTTACTTTTTTTCTGATAATCCAACCTTTTTTGCATTCCGACCATACCCCCAGTCCCAAAGGTGACGGATTAGAGGGATTCTACTGTATATTGAACCACACATTTTTCATTTTAATTTTAGCATGTATGTTTTTTTCCTGCTTTTATGGCTGATAAAAAAGATTTAAGCTACCACATATACTTTGCAAGTGTTAGAAAACAATGACAATATTGATAAGAAACAAACTTGATTGCTGTTGAATTAATTTTTGCCAGAGGGAAGATAAATAGTGTTAGTGTTTGACAAGTTTTTTTACTGTTTATAGTTGACAATAGGAAATCCTTAAAAGTATAGTTAAATGGAAAAATAATATACTGGTACAATAGTTTTCTTAAAGTTAATAGATGATGACACTTGTTTATTGTTTACTAAGTACTTCAAATTCAGAATGTTTTATATAGTTAAATTTTAGCTTTAATGAAATTTATTTTGTTAAATTTTAATATTTCACTTCAAATAAGAAATTTTATAATTATTTTGATACTTACATTGACTAACTGAACATCTGAGTAAAGATTATGACATGATATGTTATAATTTACAAAATATTAATCAAATTATTCAAATGAAACTATGATAATCTCACAAGTTGTTTAATTAATTAATAGCTTTAAATTTTTATTATTATTGAATAAAATATGTTGTTTTAAAGTCAGTATCTTTTGGATAATTATAAATTTCAATAATTATATTCAGCATTTTTATGATGAGTAAAGATAACTTAGACGAATATTTAAATTAATATAAAGCATATATTATTTTTTATTTTTTAAATGATTAATATTCTTTTATGCAACATTTAATTATTTATTATTATTATTATTATTATTTTAATTTAAACAAATAGAAAAATTTAAGTTAAATTTTTTGTCAGAAGTTTTTCAAGTAAAATTTGTTCATTTTCTTTTCAGAAATTTGAGTCAGTTAATGGACAGATTTGTAGAGGATATGCAGAATATAAATGCCACGAGACCAGAAGTTCATGGTGCTTCAGTACTTCCATCATGTGCTGATCTGTTTGTGTTTTATAAAAAATGTTTAGTTCAGTGCACCCAGTTAAGCACTGGAGATCCGATGCTATCTTTGATGGCAACCTTCCAGAAGTATTTACGAGAATATGCAGTGAGAATTTTACAAAATAACTTGCCAAAGTAAGTAATATATAGATAAGCTTTCTGATTTTTTTTGTATTTGCTGGCTCTTTCCAAATTAGATTTAATTGCACAATTCTAATAGATGATTTCCATCTTACGTCACAGAGATGAACAGTTAAAATCATAGATAACTACATTTGAAATCTGTTCATTGTCATGATTTCAGTTTCATAAATTTTCCCAAAAGTCTTTTAGTGTGTCGTCATGATTGTCAAAAATAGATCCTAACATTCAGAATCTACTTGCTGTTTATCAGGTTATGTTAGCAGCTGCATTAACATAAAAAATTTATCAATCCAAAATAATGTGTATGATTGATGAAATACTTGTGGATTTTTATCTCATCAGAAAGTTGAGATGAGGTTGATTTGAAGTGGCATCATTCTTTTTGACGTGGAATGATGTCAAAACCACTTTGTCAATGTTATTGGCATGCAAGGGTCATGACCAAAGGGTCGGCACCATGTTAATGACACCACTGTGTCCCTTAGGGCAGACACAAAAACCATTATGGCATTAGTTTGTTGCTTCGTGCAAGTAGTCGCATTCGGGATGGATGAGGGTTTAGAGAGCTTGATGGGAAGAATTGCACTCTGCTACAGGTTAAACAAACAAATACCTGTTTATCTATACAAAGGATTATAGATCTATGACAATAATAGCAAATCATTTTAGGAGAGTCTCCAGTTACACACAAAAGAGAGAGTTTACATTTGGGTGTGAGATGATAAATATCTGTGGTTGTTTGTTTTCTTTGGAGATCGGAAACTTGATAGACTGGTGACGAATGTTGTATGCACATTTAATAAAATTGCCAGGACAGGAAGGAAGGAAGTTTTTTAACAGTTTGCATAATGAGGTGGACAAACAGCCTCTAATCAAAGGTCAGCTCTGCCATAAGACTGTTATTTTCCTGAGAACAGAAAAGAGAAGAATTTTTATTGTATAGTCTTAAATAGTTTTTAATTTTACAATTACTGTCATGGTAATTTTATTAAACATTTTCTTGGTCTCTGCAAAATCTGAAAATATTTACAGAAATTATAAAATAATTTTTTTAAAAAGGTATATTTATATATACTATTTTAAAAACTTTAAAAAAAAGTCATTTTAAAATAATGAATATAATAAAAATTACTCTGATTTTTTTCAATAGTTCTATTTTTATTATTGAATAGATGCACTTACTCCATATGGTAAGTACATTTCAAACTATATCAATTGTTGTATCTCGGTACTCTTTTATACTAGAGAGTTCACGTTGTTGTGTATTTCTACCACTGAAGAGGAACTGTTAATTGATACAGTTTGAAATGCATATGGTATAAGAACATCTCTTCAATAATAAAAAAAAGGACTATTGAAAAGATCAGAGTAATTTTTATTATATTTATTATTTTAAAGTGATGTTTCTTTTAAAAGTTTTTTTAAAATTAAATACAGAATTATTGAATACTTATCTAAAATCATTTTCAACATGAATGTCTATAAAAATCAGATCTAGAGAGAAGTTTGTAGATGTTTAAAGACTATTGGTTAGCATATAAAGGAGAAAAGGCCATTCTAGAGGTTAAAAGTTAATTTTTTTTCTTTTGTTTTTTGATATAGGATTGGTCCTGCTTCTTCATTAACATCATCAGCTGGAATAATTCAAAATTTTCAAAGTTTATTGAAAGAAGGAGAAGTTACAAGATTTACATCATCAGAGCAGTGTAGGATTTGCAGTATATTGATTACTGCAGAGTATTGTTTAGAAACAATACAACAGGTAATTATGTATAAAAGAGTAATAATTTAAAATTAAAAAAAATTTATAATTAATATGAAAATTATTGACTGTGAATAATTTTTTTAAGCTAGAAGACAAGTTGAAAGAGAAAGTAGATCCTACTCTGAGTAATCAAATTAATCTGAGTTCTGAACAGGATATATTTCATGGGTAATATGCACTTTACTAAGTTGTTGAGAATGAATATTGTAATTTTTGTATTACAATATAATAACATTAAAATTTATGTTTTTGTTGCACTTTTTTAGAATAAATATATTAATTTGATGGCTAAACAATAATAGATGATGATCTAATTAGACTTGAGCAAGGCCAGATAGAGGGATGCCCAGAGAACTGTTTGGCTGACCTGGACATAAAAGGGTTCCAAAATTTAGTTTTTATGTAAAGTATGATATAAAAGTGAAATTTTTGCTTTATTAGTGGTGAACAATTTGTTTTTGTTTGTTTTAATAATTCTGTTTTTAAGTTATGAAGGGGATGGGGCCCTATATTTGTGACCAGCCAGGTTCCATTTTACTTTTCTCTGATTGTGAGAGGTTAAAGTTGAATAGTATCTAGATCTTAGTGATTTTTTTTATGGATAGTTCAGTTTGTGCATCATTGTCCATCCTCTGTGTATGTTGCCCATCCTATACAGTAAATTGTATAGCCCATAGATGTTGGTATCTCATATAACAAATTAATTTAAAATAAATGTTATTTCTATATATGTTGGCATATACACTTATTAATTTTTGATTTTACAATTTGAATGGCAGCTTTGATTAAATGTGACAGTTGATTTTATTTGATAAATTTTCAGTTCAACATAGTATTTTATTTTAAAATTAAGTATTTTTATCAATGAAGTTATTCTATGCTAACTATATTATGATATTACTTTCAACTTGCATGTTTTTCAAAATATGGGATTTTCCATCTTATAGTATGCCATGACTTTATATTGTATGTATTGATATTTAACTTAGCTTTATATCAGGAAATTTATAAAGAATTATAGAAAATAAAATAACAAGATTTGATAACATATTTTATTGAAATAATTCTATTTATTTGTTAGTATGATGTTTAGTATACATATACCTATCTACGTGTACTGTACAATTAATCCTCAGTTTATAATTGAATAAATTAGAGTAAATTGAAGTTTTAACTGATAAATTAGATTGCTTTCATACAAAAAAAAAAAAATAATAATAATAATATGTTAAATTATTGAATATATACACATTTAACTTACTTTAGATATTTATTATATATCTAAATCTTGTATTTGTGATAAATTCTTGATTTAATAGATTATTTTAGTTGGCTGGATGGCCAAAGTGATAAAGGCATGAATTTGCTACTTTGGAGGCCCTGGTATTGAATCCAGGTGAGAAGCTCAGGAATTTTTCATGGGCGCACTGTTCTGGATGTATCGGATGTATCAGACCTCACCACTTGGGTGGGTGCCCAGTTTGGATCTGGAAAAATGGTATTCTATTCTTAGTCCCCATGGGATGGAAAAAGAGAAAAATTTAAAAGTTATCTTAGTCATCAAATGTATGCTCCAAATTTTTTTCCTTTAGTAAATTTGTTTCTATTATACAATAGTAAGCAACACAACACTATTTATGGAAAAATGATTACTACAAATTCAGTAAGTTTTTGAAAATATTGTATACTGTTTGAAGTTTGGAGTCATATATAGTTTGCAAACTTGTTTGCAAATTTTAAAAAACAATCTGTCATGTATTACTTGTGATAATAGATACAATCTGTGGCAGACAAGTCTTGGTCTGGTTGACCTTACATATTTGAAACTATACAAATTGTTACTGCTGAATTTCATGCAATATGAAAATTTCTGATGTAAGAATCTTAAAGTGGGAATATCAAAAAACATTGTTTATGTTATTTTAGAAAGTCAAAAGTTCTGGTGTTACAAAGTACAGCATTATGTTGAGTTTAAGGATAAACATGTTATGACTATATGGCTACATTTCTTTTATAATTCTAGACTTTTTGGACAAAAAAACATTAAAAATACATTTAAGAAATGTGGAATTTTTATAATCATGCTTAAGTGCATATTTTTAACTGAAGGCATGTAAGATTTCACCTCTATGAAACAAAAGTAGAGATGCAAAATTAAATAAAGAGATTTCAAAAATTTATGCAAAACAAATTTTTCTCGTTAGTGCAAGAATCAATGATACAATTAATTAAAAATGTTTATTTAATTAATATTAGATTATGAAAATAATTTTCTCAGAATTAATGCAAAAATTATTATGTATTTATAAGGTTTACTGATAAATAAAAATGCAAAATTAACAATAAAAATAATTTTATTTTTCAGAGTCATAGCTAATTGTATTCAGTTGTTAGTTCAAGATTTAGAGGCAGCATGTGAACCTGCTCTAACAGCTATGAGTAAAGTAAATTGAATTTTTTCATAGATTTATAAGATTATTTTGTATTAGATTTAAGTTTTTCATTATTTTTATACTTAATATTCCATAAAACAAAATTTATTTATATTTTGAATATTTAGATTCAGTGGGCCTCGGTAGAAACTGTTGGTGATCAAAGTAGTTATGTTACAGCTATAACATCTCATCTGAGGCAAACGTTACCGTTATTAAGGGATCACTTATCATCCTCTCGAAAATACTTCACCCAGTTTTGTGTAAAATTTGTTAAGTAAGTAATGTTGGAATCTTTTTTTGTTTATATATTATTATTACAATGATTAACTAAAATAATTTTCTTATATTTCAGTTCATTTATTCCAAAATTTATAAATCATTTATTTAAATGCAAACCAATAAGTCCAATAGGAGCAGAACAGGCAAGTTGTCTTTAGTTTTGAATTAACAAAGCTTAAATGCAGAAAATATTATTCTATTGTTGTTTACTTTTTTATATTGCAAAAATTAGCAATTTTTGTCAAGTGCTGAATATTTATTTCACAGTGATACCAAATAGCATTTTCACTGCCAAATACTGTAATCAAATATAAGATTTTTTTGCTTTAAAACTGATGTAAAACATCATTAAGAAAGTATAGATAAGCTGGTTTTTTCTATTTTCCATTAAAATTGTTTCTTTTTCATTCAATAAGTTGAAATAATTCATGCAATTAATGCTTAATATAGTTTGAAATAGTTTAAAAATGAAAAATTTCATTATCATTTCTAAACTATATATTTCATAATTGATGAAAATGGCTTTAAAATAACATTTTCATTTCTGATGAATGTTATTTAAGTTTTAGTTTAATAAAATATAAGGAGATACTGTTTCTAAATGGAAACAAATTTAATATTTATAAATGATTCTGTTATAATTATTGCGAGTATATTGAAATTTGTATGCTATAATTTATATTTTACACAATACCAAGTGCATGTAACTGTTTTGATAAATTCACAAATGTTTTGATGTTTTAAATGTTTTTTATTAGCCTTTCCAGTAAGGTCATTCCATTGTGATTCACTTCTAGTTTGCTATTTGATGATATTTCTTCTAAAGTAATGGTTTCTAATCCTTTTCTTATATTAGTATTATGTTTGAAGATTCTATTTTGTACTTTGTCAGTTAACACTTACATATAATAAAATGTAATTTATATGTTAAACTGCTTAAATTTTTATTTTGCTGCAGATAATTAAAAAGAAAGTAAACTAATTAAAATAGTTTATTCATAAAAAAATAACTATTTAAAATAATAAGAAAAATACTAAATTTAGGAAACCAGAACAAGTTTTTTTTTATCTGATACATTTTTTGTTTTTTTAAAAGAACATCATTTAAATTAAATTAATTAATTTTTTGTTTAATTATAATTTTCTTGTAATTTTAAATTTAAAAGTTTTTGGAATTTGTTCTAATTATCAATATCAATAATCTTTATTTGTCGTAATAGGCTTTCGCCTGTTACAAGGGCGTTTTGTTTTATATAAACGCGTATTAATTTAACATCACTTTTAATCTTTTCTTATCAACATTATTTAATTACATTAATATTTTGTAAATTTTTTAACATAGTTATATAACATATAAATAGTGTTAGTATTAGCTCTGTCAAAAATCTTATACATTTTCATCTCACTGTTACAATTAGCCAGCGGTTCCATCTGGAGCCGTTGTAGTTTATCCTTTTCACTACAGCATTCGCATATTATATGAACTCTAGATAAAAGTTTGGTACAATTCGGACATTTAGATTGAGTGTAGTCTATATATTTATCATTTATTATTATTCCATTTTTATTTAGCCTAATTTGTATAAAAAACTTTTTGATATTAAAGGCTAGATTTGTCAATATATAGTTATTATTAACTGGGTAATTTAAAATTGTTGCATACCAGCTTGTTTTTTCCCGTTTTCGTATGTCTTCAGTGTCTTGAACGATGGAGAGCTCCATAGCTCTGTATATTATTTCTTTACTATACTGCTCCATATCATGTGTACGATCCAGAAACAATTTAATAGAGAATCCATATTTATTTACTATCTTTGATAACTGTATTATCCAACTTCGTCTTAAATCCGCTTCGCTTGATTTGCGATATAGTAAAAACAGCAATTTTGTTGTTATGTCTTCTGCCTTTATAATTTTTTGTAGAAACATTAAATATCTTTTTATTAATATAGTATTTAGTCTGAATCTATTTGTTTCTATTCTTAAGACACTGCCCGGGATATTAAATTCTAATTGGAATATCTTGCGTATAAATATATTCTGTATTTTTTCAAAGTCATTAAATTTGTCCATACTCCAAATTGGGGCAGCATAGCTCATTGAATTCATCACAAGCGAATTAAAAAGTTGAAAGTGTGTTCTTAAGTTCTTTAGTTTTGCCTTACAGAATAGACCAATTAGGTTATTTATTACAATTTTTGCTTTATTTAGTGAATTTTTATAATGTTTCTCAAATGAAAGGTTTGGTGTAAATGTTATTCCTAAAAATTTTATTTCCTTAACTATCTTCACTTCTTCTTTATTAATAAAAAACGACATGTGCTTTTTGGATATATTACTACCATTTCTGAATATCATTATTGATGATTTTTTTGGATTTATTTTAACTCTTAACTTTTCTAAGTACTCACAAATCTGTTGGATCTTTCTACGGAGCGCAGCTGCCGTAGGAGCTACCAGCACAATGTCATCGGCATATGATATAGTATGAATTGTCTGATTTTCAATTTGAATACCATCTTCGTCTCTTTGAAAACAAGTATTTAGGTCATATAGATAAAAATTGAAAAGATATGGGGACATCGGATCTCCTTGTAATAGTCCTCTGTAAGTAATAAACGGTGTCCAGATCTTTGTATCTTGTTTAATGATTGTCTTATATTTTCCAAACAGCAATCCTATCATTTTTATCAAAAGTTCATTTGCTCCACATCTCTTCATTTTACTTTGTAGGTCTGTAATGCTAATCATATCATATGCTTTTTCAAGGTCCAAAAAAAGAGCGAACACTTTATGTCTTTTCTTAAGCAACTGTATTTGAATTAGTGATAACAACACAAAGAGAGCTGTCTGAGTACCACCTCCTTCCACAAACGCAAATTGCGTATCATTTCTATAATTGTTAGCAGCTGTCCAATGATTAAGTTTACTAGCTAATACTGCAGTGAATATTTTCCGTAGACAAGACAGAAGAGCTATTGGTCTGTAATTGGTTGGTTCCTGTTTGTTCCCTTGTTTAAATATCATGGTAAAAATGACTTCATTCCATTTGTCCGGTATTATACTATAACTGTAGAATTGATTGAATTGTCTGGTTAAATATCGAATGATTTCTAGTGGCAGCATTTTAATGAGTGAATTAGGTATTGTATCTGCTCCTGGTGTTGATTTATCTTTGAGTTTCTTAATACAATCCTGAAGTTCTTCCGTCTTAATTATCTCTTCTCGATGAATTTCAGGCCTTATCTTAGTTTCTATATATTTTTGACAAAAATTTTTTCGGTAGTTCTCTGAGAATTTACTGTAGTATTTCAGCCAGTCATCATATCCTACTCTAGCCTGTATGTCATGACCTGACTTTCTTTTACGAAAATTGTTAATTATCCTCCAAAAAACTCTCGTGTCCTTCGCTTCTGATAATTTCTTACTGATATTTGAAAAATATAATTTCTTTTTGGCTTTAATTAGATTATTATACATTTTCTTATATTTTAGGTAATTCATCAGTGCTTTACTGGTATTTGTTCGTCTGAAGATTTGTAAACTCTTTTGTTTTTTAATTTTGTAGCTGTAACATGTACTGTTGTACCATTCACATTTGAATATTTTGTCATTCTGTCGTTTACAGTTATTGTACTTGTATTCCTCTAATTTAGTTGTAATATTCAAATAATTTCTTATTGGATCATTTTCTTTTTCCAAGTTTAACATCTCCCCAATCATTTTATCAAACTCTTTTAACAATTTTCGTTTATTATAGGATGGTCTTAGTTCCAGATTAATAAGGTGACTTTGTTCACAATTATGTAATTTATTTCCTATCTTTTGATATTTTATTAGTTCCAACTTAATGGGAAAATGATCTGCCCGGTCATCCTCCAGAACATTCATATAGTTACAGCACTTTAACATTTCTTCTGAACAAATAATGTAGTCCACTATTGATTTCCCGTTTGGGGAAACAAAGGTAATTTCTGCAGGGGTATCTCCCCTCATCCTACCGTTCAGAATTAATAATTGGTTATTATGAACAAAATCTAGAAGTATTTTCCCCTCTGTGTTTAAAACTTTATCTTTGGATGTTCTCTTATTGGCTATATTTTCAAACGTCTGAAAAAATACAGTATCAGTGGCTTCGCCAATACGTGCATTTAGATCACCTCCTATTATCCATAATTGTGTCAGGCTAGACCATCTATCCAGAACTTTTTGCACTTCATTTAAAATTGATTTCTTCTCAACAGACGGTGGTATATATATTACTACCACTCCCAGATATGTGAAAGACCATCTCATTTTAATTTTATTCTCTAATTTTATTATAACAGCAATAATATAGTCCGATGTATATTGGAGAAATATCTCACCTAATCTCTTCTTAATAAGTAACAGAATTCCACATGACGGGCGTCCAAATCTACTTTTGCGTTGAGCATTGCTAATTATTGCACTATTGTCTTGTTCTAGATATTTTATTTCCATATCACTAAATTTTAGAATCCAGGTTTCTAAAAAACCAATTATTTCATTTGAGTCCAGGAATTTTCTCATTGAGGTTTTGAATAATTTCCCTCTTAATCCTTGAATATTCCAAAAACTTATTGTCACATTATTGTTTTCTCTTTTTGGAATTTCTACTTTTTCCTCATTCAATTCATTATCTTTGACTATCAAACTATCATCACTCACTTTTCTGTTATTATTCTCCATATTTTCAATCATTCTCATTTTTTTCTGCATTGTTTTTAAATTTTGATTTATTTTTGCTAATCTTACATTATATTTATCTCTAAAAAATGATTTAGCTGAATTATTTCTTTCGTATTCAAGTCGTATGTGTACATTGTATTATCTTTTAAGAAATAATCATCTCTTATTTTTATCTTTTTGTCATTTGATTTCTCCAGTTTAATGTGTTTTAATAGTAACTTTCTCCTAATTCTAGATCTCGGACATAAGTCAGTTGATATTATTATTTTTTTCTTTTCATCCATCAATTTCGATCTTGTGGTCCAGAATTTACCAAGAATTAAGTTTCTATCTTTCACCGATTCGGTCATAACCTTAAATACTTGATTATTTTTTCTATTTCCTAATTGAATAAGACCCTCAATTTCTACATAATTAAGTTCTAAGTTTTCTTTTATAAATTTTTTCAACTCTTCTACATATTCCGAGGTTTTGAATGGAAAATTAAATATTATTAGATTCTTCTTAGTCGTTTCGTTTAACATTTTATCAATTTCAAAATCCACCATACCTTTTAGCTTGCTATGCGAATCCGTTCTTTCTTCTAATATTTGTAGTCTTTTGCACATATCTTTCATCTCTTCTTTTATCTTTAAATTTTCTTCATTCATACGGTTGATTTCAGCTCTCATGGAACGGACTTCGAAGTTGAGACGATCAAATTTGTCTTGGATCAATTCATAGATCGATTTTAGTGAGTATTCAGGTTCCGTAGTACTTGTTAATAAATCTTCTTCCGGTTCGAAAAAGTCTGTTATTGTAGCATACCTCGAGATATCAGTAGTATTCTTGGAATGTTCTTCAATTAAGTATTCCTCTCCTACCATTTCGTTTGTCTGAGTATTTTCTTCTATTTCTCTTGTATGCTCTCTACGTGGTCTCCCTCGTCCCCTTTTTTGCATAACTGCTTGACTTGGTATTGGAGGAGATCGAGGAAAAGGTCCGGGATTTAACTCAATGCCGGCAATCATTAATAAAATAAAAATTACTATTCAGGTTAATGAAACATTTAAACTACTTATTTCAGTTCTACACTTAATATTCTGTTGTAAAAATTCCATGTCTAACGTCGACACAACAGCTCAGCAAAAAAAGTCACCAACACCTCCGCAGGCTAGACACGCCCCCCCTCAATTTGTTCTAATGCACTTTGTAATATCAAAGTTTATGATGAACTTTTTAAATAATGAAAACATTTCTGATTAAAAGAGCTTGTTTGGGTTCCCAAGTTTAGCATTTTTCTTGTTGTTTTAAATGTGGTACTTAATTATAATTAGTTTAAATAGCTCATGATGAAACTTGTACATTAGAATGTACATGAGGTATAAATTAAGAATAAATTTCTTACATAATTGCTTTTTATAGCTCTTATTAGATACTCATATGTTGAAAACAGTGTTGTTGGATCTTCCTTCTCTTGGTTCTCAGATTGTGAGGAAAGCTCCTGCCAGGTATGTATTTGTAAATAGTTATATTGTTTATTAGTAATAGTGATACCTCGATTTTCATTGATAATTCATCCGAAAACAATCGGCAAAATCCAAAACCACAACAAAAACTAAGCCAATTATTTCCATATGAATCAATGTAAATCAATTAATTCATTTTAGACACTCCAAAATACATACTGAAAACACATTTTATAGAGAATAAATTTACTGTTAAATACTAAAAACAATAAGAAATTAATATAAAATGAATATAAAAGACTAATGTAAAGAATAAATGAACATATAACATGGCATTCGAAGGGCTGCTGGCTCTGGAAACTTTCTTTGGTCTCATGATGTAGCTAAAAGGAACGGAAAGCAATAGAATTGTTTGGTTAGACATGCGGGATAATGCTCACACAACGAGAAACAATGCCACGCTGAGCAGGAAAATGTGTGGGTTGCCCTTTGTTTTCGCAAAATTAGCAGCAAGGTCATGTGGACATGCCGACAAAATCCAAGGCAACTGATGAAAACCAAAGTTTTACTGTATTAGAAAATTTGAACATGTAAGTACATAATATTAGGTATAAAAACAGTAAAAAAATTTCAAAATATTTTATTTTTGATTGAATGTTAATATGCTTTTGAGATTAACTTTAAATTTATAAGATGTCTCATTACAAAATTTATAATTTTAGTATATACAAGAAAGATGAATATACAATCTAGAGATCAGTGCAATGAGAGAAATTGATATTTTGTATTGCATGATGAATTTAAACATCTAAAGAAAAAATATTTGAAAATACAGTAGATTCTTCCAGCCTGTTTCTGATAAATTGTCACAAAATAAGCTACTGTAAATCATAAAATTTACTGTCATAAATTGAAGTTATGTTGCTGAAATATAGTTTGAACTCTATAATGAGAATATTGAGATGGCCAATGAAAAATACAGCATTTCATATATCATAATAGAAAATTTATGTCAGTCATAACACTGAGCAGTTGAAAAATAAATGTTTATTGTATAACAAAATTGTTTGTTCTCTTATATTTCAGCTATACACAGGGTGTATCAGAATGATGATTTAAAAATTTGGAGGATTGTAGAGGATGAAATTGTGAACGTTTTGATATAATGGACCTATAGCCAGAAATGTGATATAAAGTTTCTACAGCACTTTGCACGTTCTATGCGGTCGGTATGCTGAATGAAACAGCAGAATGCAGTATTTGTGACAAGTTTTATTGACAAAATAGTAGCTTACAATCAAACTGTACATCGAATCAGTGGCTGCACTACTTCAGAGTAAATGTTCAATGTGACGACCACCAACTTCGTTACATGATGTGCAACGACGAACCATGTTTTGTCCGACCCTCTGTAAGATGCCACGCTCTCCTCTGATGTATTAAATGCTGTAAAGATGCGCTCCGTAAACTCATGAACTGTTCCTACAGGTGTTGTATACACAAGGGGCTCATGTTGACTAGTTGTGTGCTTACAGCACAGAGCCAGTGGATACAATGGGTGACCTGAAGGACGACAAGCATTAAGTACACAATGTCCTATACACAGGCTCAGTTAGACCATTGTAATTGTGTGTTTACAGTCTTCCATTCACAGCAATAATATGATGTCAATGGACAGAAGGGTAGCTACCAAAGTGAAGGGCGGTCAAGCACTTCCTACCACTGTAGACACTTTAGTTCAAATTTCCAGATATAGGTTCCTTATATCAAAACGTTCAAAATTTCATCCTCTACAATCCCCAAATTTTTAAAACATCATTCTGATACACCCTTTATAACATTTATTACACAAAGCCATTTAATATAAGTTGAAGAAGTTAAAAATATTTTATTTCTAAATTTTTTTATACTTTCAGCAGTCTAAAATTTTATTTATTGTATACAATATGAAACTTTTGATTTTTAGTGTTGAAAAATTTAATATAGTTTTCTGTCACTTTAATAATATTTAATAATATTACTTCCAGCTATACTAAAATTGTTGTTAAAGGTATGACTAAGGCTGAGATGATATTAAAGGTAATTGCTTTATATTCCTTTTACTATTTATTAGTTTTTAATTCTTTTACTAAAATCATGAAACAAACGTTGTCAAGTTTGCTAATCAATTTTACTTTTTTGGAAATTTGGAAAAGTAAAAGTTTCACGTGCACATGTGTGTTTAGGTGTGTAGATAAGGCCTAAAAACAAAAACAACTTTATTGCTGATTGAGATTGGAAATAAAGAAAATAATAGTGTTCAAGTATGTCTCAGTGATGACATATAATACATATTGTTGAGAATAACTATCATAGCAATTGTGATAATGACCTCTGACTCAAGCCACAAGCAAATAATCAATTCATCAAAAATATTTGTCTAACGTAACTCAAATTATACAAATATGATTATATGCTTCAACCAAATTATTCAGTTTGGCATGATTTTAATTGTTTGATTTTTTTTTTTTTTTAATTATTGAATATCTTTTTGTAACAAATTCTTTTAAACCAGGACTGTGGAGTCGCGTAAAAATCTACCGACTCCAACTCCGACTTTTCCTTACCATCTGACTCCAACTCCGTTTCATATACATAACAAGTTGGTAAGTAAAGGGAGTCTTAGTCGGCGGATTTTTTGACGACTCCAATTCTTGCTAAAACACCAAAACTCCACGACTCTGACTCCAACTCCACAGCCCTACTTTAAACTTATTAAAAATGTAGCTGTATAAAAGATGTTAAAATTATTTATAATAATTTTTTGTCAAAAATTAAATAATTATTTTGATTTAAAATTCTAAATTATGATGTCTTGCTAAACAATTATATATTGAATTAATCTAAAATATACAATATAATTCAAGTTATGTAAAGAATTTTGTATGAATGAGATTCTGTCAGTGAATAAAAAAAAGTTTTCTTCTAATTATTAGTTGCACAATTTGTACAATTAGATTTATACAAAATAATAATTGAAGTCTTGTCTTCTATTTTGTTACCAAAACATTCTTTATTCACTTTCAATTACATTTATAAAATTTGAAATTAAAATTATAATAGACTCTGTTTTTATGATTTAATCGATCCTAGAAAATCGTTGTTAAGTCACTGAATTGATTGGAAAGTTTAATTTTCTATGTCAAATTTAGGTTTTCTTCCTGAAAATATAATAAAGGCCAACAAAAATAATGCATTTTATGAAAATTTATATCATGAAAGCAGGGTTTTAATGTGTTTTCGCTTATTTTCCAAGTCTTTATCTTTAAGTCTTTTGCCCTAGGTTGTAATGGCTCCATATGAAATAGCTCAGGGTTTTGTGGATAATTACATCAAATTGCTTCCTGAATCAGATTGTGCAGAATTTCAGAAAGTGTTGGATATGAAAGTAAGTTTTATTTATTGTTTTTAAACATTAAAAATATTTTTTTATTTTAATAAAAACTAAAATATTTAATTATATTTATGTTAATAATTCATTAATTTATGAATAAATTTATTTTTAAAATTACAATTCTCTGTAATAAAAACTTTACTATTGTGGCTACAGTAGTTTCTTCCTCAAGAAATAATTATGCATACTTGAAACAGAATTTAAATCTGTGAACTAAGAATAACAAATTAACAAACTCTGCTACCAGATGAACAACAAAATGAAGTATTCAATACAGTATAATCTGCTTATCTAGATAAAATTTTTAATAGTTATATAAATTTCTTTATATAATATAATTAATTTTCATTTAAACATATTTATAATAATGAAGAGTTTTTTAAAAAGATACTTATTTGTATTGTTGTAGGGTTATTTTACTAGATACAGAGAATTTATTCAGTGCACTCATCGTGATGACTTGACCACATACATCTGATGAAATAAATTCTTAAATTCAAATCAAATAAATCTACAAGTTTGAATTGAAATGCTTTGAAATTTTAATAGCCATTATAAGAACATTCAAATTTCTGTTGTGTGCCTTACAAAGGTTAATTAATAAGGCCTGAAATATTTGCTGGAATTTTAACTTCCAGAAAATAAGTGTTTAGTTAAGAATTTATTGTGACAACTTCCAGTTTTAGTTGAAGCACTTACAATAATGGACAAAATTATGACTCATTTTAGATCATTATATCTTAAAGTACATCACAGGAAAATTTAATTTGTTCTTTTATTTATATTAAAATTAATAAAATTAGTAATTATTGACACATCAAATCTAAACATTAAAACTGTTATTTAATTACAAAAAATATTAATTCCAAACTTGATAAAATAAATGTATGTAAATAATGTCATTTATAATTTCAGGGATTAAAACGCAGTGAACAAAACACAATGACAGAAATATTTCGTACAAGACTGCCGATTGGCATCGCTACGGGATTGACGGCAGATGCCACCGTAGGTAATTCCATTTCCGCTACAAATTCCAGTCCAGAACACGAATCCAGTAGAATCAAAAGATTAGAAAAATTAATTAAGAAGAGGCTGTAAAAAATATTTCTCAAATTTATTTATATTGTAAATTAATGAATACACTGAAAGGCAATGTATGATATTTTGTATTTATATAATGAATTGTGTGTAAAGATAGCATCCTTATGATATGATGTGCAAGGTAAGAGGAAAAGAATATATAAATATTGAAAATAAATGAGCTGAATTTAATATATTTCTTATTATTGAATCTTTTTATCCTTTACAGACATGCAGTTTTATAAGTTACAGATATTAATGTTATTATTTAAATATGTACTTTTTAGATAAAATGTGTAATTATTAAGACTTCATAAAGTACCGATGAAATTCTTAGGAAAGTTATGTTAATATAGGATAAGTGATAATTTAGGAACTACAAAGACTATGTATTTGTTTTTCTAATTTTAATTATATTTTATGAATATAATATGAAATATTTGATAAAAATTTTAATTGCATTCATGATTTTTTAATATTGTTTATAGCTGTTGATCATTTAGCTACTGAAACGAGATAACACTGATCCTAACAAGACTGATAAATTGATTAGTCTGTTCTTATGGCTATTTTTTAGCTTTTAGAATACAGTAATACCTCGACTTACGCTACCCCGACTTATGCAAACTCGGAGTTACGCGATTTTCAAATCTCGTCTATTCGTCTTTTGTTTGAGCGCCACGCAACTCTCGATTACACACTCCCCCCACACTATTGTTACATGTTTGGACGTGTCGTGCGGAATCGACACATAGCTACAATTTATTTTGTGTTATTTATTTCTGTATTTGTTATATCTACGGAGACTCGAGAGACTCTATATGGTGATTTCTTGTAACTGTGAACGAATCAAAAGACGATATAAGATTAACGAGAACATTTATTAGCTTACATACATCCGACTTGGATTTTACACAAATTGTGAAATTATACCCCGACTTATGCGAATTCCACTTACGCGGTTATCGCACGGTCCCACCTATCGCGTAAGTTCGGGGTCTTCTAAATTAAATATTCTTAAATAATTAATTTTGAATATCAAATATTGAAGATCTTTTAGCTATGATAAAGACTAATCAATAGTGTTGTAACGAATAGTATATTCGGCCTCAGGCCGAATACCGAATATTCGGCCAGGAGCGTGGCCGAATAGCCGAATATTCGGCCAGGAGCGTGGCCGAATAGCCGAATATTCGGCCAAACTATTTGGCTCGATTATCGCACGTACGAAAATTGGCGCGCAAACCGCATTATGGCAAGGATCCTGCTCTCTATTGGCCCGCTGTCACTACTCTTCGCCAATCGCGTTAATTCTTCGCAGTTGTAGCGGACAGAAAAGAGTGTCATGGAAGTATGTGATAAATGATGATGTCAAATGTGGATAACAATGAAATGTCCTACACGTGTAAATAACGGAGAAAGAACAGAGAAGGACCGCGAAGTGAAAATGTGAAAATAAATATGAAATTGAGTCAATAACATAATCAAACGAGTCGAAGCAGCTTATTGGCGCGAAATTCGCGGGCGTCAATGCCAAACAATTGTTGTCATAGACTTCGGAAAGCTAAATGCTTGTAATGAAAGTCACTTAGCGTGCACGGGCAAAAGACTGGGGCCGTTCGGGCTATCGAGCTGTCTCGAATCTGTGAAATCATAACTGCGACTTATATCGACGTCCTATTTGTCTCTTTTCTCCGTTATCACCAGGCTGAGTCACGTAATTGTAAAATGGGAACTCTACGACGGAAAAGTGACGAATCGAAAGTATCGTGAGCGCGTATTGTGATGTATGCACATGCATACGTGGATTAGAGCGATAGAGGAAAGAGAAAGGGAAGAGCAAAGACGAGCGCTTAAAAAGGATAGGCAGGGTCAGACCCTCAGATGTGCGAGGATTCTCCAACGATAGACGTGTACGTGTGCTGATCTTTGTAATTATAAATTGTGAATACATGTGACTAATATTAGTTTCTTTTTTATTTTGTGCATGTTACAAGTTATAAATAAATATAAACAAACAACACTAACTCTATAACATTAACTCTAAATACCAAAATGATTAATTTACTGTGTTTTTGTTGTTTATAACTCCTGTTTTTAGGTATTCGGTATTCGGCCGAATAGTGATTAAATATTCGGTATTCGGCCGAATAGTGAAAAATAGGCTGAATAGGCCGAATACCGAATAGTAACCGAATATTCGTTACATCACTACTAATCAATTAAGATTAAATGCTACAATACTTTAGTACTTTGAATAATTGTTATTATTTTTTAATTTAACATTTATAATAATTAGTAAAACGAAGATAAGAAATCACTCTACAGATAGGATTTTATTATTATGTTGCTGTCAAAAATGTGTTATAATAGATCATCTAATTCAAGAACAATTTAAGATTTTAACATGACTGAAATTAAAATTTAAACTAATCTGCCATGTTTGTATTTATTGACACAGTTAAAATTTTTCAAATTACAGTTTAACCTGATATTTAATAAATTACATCATATGTAGAGAATTTTTTTCAAAAAGTTAAATCATAAAATTTTTGAGATTTAAAATTTAATCTTATAACAATCTTTGGAAAAATTGGCAGCTTTGTATAATATGTTGCATATGTAACAGTGGCCTAAGAGAGGTGAGATAAATCCTTAGTCAGATTACAAATATAAGAGCTCTTCTCTGGAAACCAGAAAAAAAAAATACATATACAGACACATACACACACACACATATGTGTCTGTATATACAGGGTATCCATAAAGTCCATGTGCAATTTAAAAATTGTATAACTTAGTATTTGTGACAGAAAAAAATTTGTGAAAGTATTAGAAAGCTTAATGTACGTAGTTTTAAGTAAAATTAGGATTGGAAGAGGTGGACCGTTTTCTTAGTCTCCACATTTGCCAGACTTGACTCCGTTAGATTTTTTTAATGGGGACATGTGAAAACAATAGCGTATGCAACCAAACCGATTGATTGTTAGGAAACTTGAAAGCTAAAATAAATAAATGTGATTTCAGGCATTACTGTAAATCAATTGGCAAATGATTTTAGAGAAATACGAAGTCTTATTATCCTTTGTATTACTAATGATGGTGGATATGTGGAAACTTAATAAAATAAATGGCGTGCGGTCTGTGCAAAAGTGCCGCTTTCCTTGTATTTTCTAAAATATAAATACATATGAGAATTTGTTTATGAAAATAATTGCACAATATCTTTGTTTCCTGTCAATGTATCTATTTTAGAATTAAAATAAACTGTTTATTTTTGTCATTTCCAGTATTTGTTTATAATTTTTATGGAAACAGCTTCCCTATCATCAAATGTTACCACACACCACTGAATAATACAATAAAAAAAATATTGATTTTTCTTATTTCCAACACATTCTACATTATTAGTATTTGTGATAAGAAATTAAGTTATAAATTTTCTTAATTGCTCATGGACTTTATGGACATCTTTGTGTGTGTGTGTGTGTGTGTATACACATACACATAGGCTACCATAAAACCCGGATAAATCACAATTTCCCTAATTTCATCCCCTTGACACTGTGATAATTTAAGTTTAATGCATTAATTATTAATCAATGCTTAATTATATAATGAAAACACTACATGGTCCATGAATCATACGCTTAGTGATGAATTTTTTGAATATTTCAAAAATTGCTAATTTTTTGGTTAAGTAATTTGTCATAATAAATTTTATGCAATTTTTATAAAACCATTGCATTGATTTTGAATGTTGTTCCTATGCATAATTTTTTCTGCTTTTTACTTATATATTATTAAATTTGATGATATTGTTTAGTCTGAAAAAGTAAATAATGGTAAATTTGGAAATTTTCTTCTGGAATATTGAAATTCCAAGGTTATGTAACATGACATTTTTTAAGTTTTTAAATAAATGATTCGTGGATAATTTCTTTTTTCGTGTTACAAAATGTGATAAAATGTTAAGAAGGGTTAATGACATGTTAAGCAAGTTATATTAGGCTTTACAGATATAGGTTCTTACAGGTATAGGAAAAAGACTTCAGTCTTTTTCCTATACCTGTAAGAACCTATACCTGTAAGAACCTTTTTCCTATACCAGTGTAAGAAAACGTTAGTGGATATTGTAACAAACACAACACTGATAAAGGTTTTTTTGTGGACAGTTAGACTTCAGTCTATTAGAAACATTAAAATTATGGACAAAATAATATATAACAAATGCAACAGATTGGATAATATGTGAAGTTTTTGAAGTCCTGAACAAATAGTTCCGCTGGTTCTTTTTGATAGAGCCTTCATTGAAATTTCCAAAAAATTCTAAAATATATCAAAGAATTATAATTATAAATAAATAAACCAGAAAAATACTTTTTTTGCAATCCAATATTGTAACATATTGCAGTATCCTATATTGGATGATTGCAACAATAATGTATACACATTTTATTTAAAAAAACATGTTTTTCATATTAATTGATCATATATTTATATAATGTAACTGATAAGATGTTTATGTGTTAAAGTACAGTAAGGTTTGCCCAGTTAGACATTCAATGTAACAGTTTGTTTAATAAAATGTTTAAATTATTTAATTAATAAATATCAAAACATGATTATAATTTAAAATAGCTTCTAAGAAATAACATACAATTAACGACCTGTCAACAACGACCACCTTTAAACAGCGGCCATTTTTTTTCGTCAGTGGCCGCCGTTCAGAGGTTTGACTGTATTTAAATGATAAAGTATGAAAATTTAAGCAGTATGATTTGAATTTAATGCCAATTAAATGAAAACAATTATATTTGAGATTCAAAATATACAAACTTAACATTTGCATAAAATAAATGATTCAGATGGAAGAAAGGTCAGGACGCGCGAGAGGGAGTTAACTGACATTGCTTTAAGTCAACCACCTCTATCGACGACACTCCCTAAAGCTTTCTTTGATCAATTCAAACCAGTCATCAACGATAAATATATGTAACTTTTGCTTAAAATAAACAAACAACTGGAATAAAACGTGTAAGAGATCATTACTGGGGAAAACAGGATTATGTATTACGTGTCCTACTGTTATCTGATACAGAATTATTTAAATTGTTCTTAAGGTACAGTCATAGTTTATTTTTAATCTTTTGTTGAATTTTAAAACTCATTTAATGCCTTAGAATACAAATTCTCCATAAATTTAATCATTATCGTCATTTAATGCTAAATACCTACATGGCCATTGCAAAGACTATCATCATCGATTTAAATACTTAGTAAATACAGTTTATAAAAAGTTTTTTTTTGTTTATATTCGTAAGTGTACTTTGATGGGTAACTGACTTTTGGCCACCTTGTATATGTAGGAAATTATATAATTAACTGACGGTAATGATACTGAATGATTTTGATTTTTGCTTTGTCCTTTTAATTACGAATTTTTATAAAAGTATCGTATTTTCGTGCATATAACCCGCGCCTGTGAGCAATTGTTAACTGTAAGGAATAGGAATTTTAAAAGTTCTAAAAGCTACCACCAGGTAAAAATTGGCGTCGCCTTTCTTCCGCGCTTCGAAAAGTTTAACTACGTATTATTATCAAATTTTTACTGTAGAGAATATTCGCTGTAAACACCCAAAAATACAGCAAATGGCGAATGAATCAACAAAATTCCCAACGTATTGTACAAAGTGACGGTCTGAGTATTAAAATATAATTTTATTAACTGTATACAAAAGTATTAATATTAAAACAAAAACTCTTAAATATATAAAGTACTCGATTAAAATAACAATTAAAAATATTTACAATACATTTTTAACATTACTTAAGAATATATTGTTTATATACTTTACAGATGAACATGCGGACAGCTTGTTTTTCTTAACTGGTTTACATCACAGTTATTTCTTGTTCCGTACTAGATAACACCCCGTTTGGAATTTCGTCATCTAGTTTACCGTTGTACATGTGCTGAACGGTACTTTTTCGAGGTATTAAACGTGTACCGGGAACGATCTCGAGACCCTGTACGTACCACTTGCTTTTATAATCGTTCCAACGTGTCAGAGTGGTACAGTAACGCGACGTACGACATTTGGAATGGTTGTATACGGTCTCGGCATAATTTTTCGGTTTCATTAACGTTTTAAAATACACGCAATCCGTATAAATTACATCCGTATCGTTTACGTAAACGCTATTGTAATAGTGTATCGGTACGATACGTGGCGTGTACAACACGGAATTTTTGTAACTCCGACTGCTACTGTACGTACAAGTGGAAAGGACGTTTATCTTTTCTAAAGGTCCTCGAGGGGTGATAGTGATCTGTTCGCTGTAAACTCTAGGAATCATGACGTAGTCCACCCTCTCTTCCACCCTATCTAAGGAATTTTCGACCGACTCTGGAATTTCTTCGTGATTTCCAACAATTTCTCGACCATCCTCCATCTCGATTCCCCCTTATTGTGTAGGCACGAACGCAAAATTCATCCAGAAAACACCTGAAAAAAAGCGTTAAAATTTAATAAATATTTCCAGGCGAATTTCTTATTTATTTTCGAAAGAAACGTGATAACTAGTTTCACGATTAGTTCTTTCATAACGATGTAATTTCAGCTTGTCATAATACAAAAACACGTACCGACTTAAATATATTAGTGATGTCATAAAACAAGTTAAAAGTGTAGAGTGGATCATCCAACCAGAGATCGGGTTTCTCGTATAAGATATTAAAATTAAATAGAAATAAAAATGTGCATTTCATCCGAATACAGTCGAATTATTCAAAAGTCAACCTTGAACTGTTTTGCAACTGAATTACTTTTCGTGTACGGGAAGCGGATACTTTGCTGTTGAAAATGTGTCGTTTCGTGGAAATTTGATAAAACATCCCGGACATTTTTATTTTATTTTAACATATTTATTAATATTTTGCTCAAAAACAGTGGAATAATCAAGGATTAAGCTTGGTAATAGTAATAAAATGTTACAACGTATTACTGTAATTTTTTAAATATTTTTACAGTAACAAAAAATCTGAAAGAACCCCTTAATTTTAATTATATTTATCGCTAAAAAAATAATAGAAATATATTTATCCATCAGCGACGTAGCCGAGGGGTGTTTAAGAAGCTAAACCCCCCTCAAAAAGTATAATTTTAATTACACTTTTTATTAATTTTTCGGTTCGAGTAACGTAACAAACATTAAAGAATAATTAGTTTGATCGATCGATATAGAGATTTAAACAGTATTTCGACGAAAATTTTGGCCGTTTACTAAAAAAATAATTCAACTTTTTTTCGGTTTTATTATTTCGTTATACGTCTACTCGTATTTTAACATAAAAAAAACGACATTTAAACTCTATACATTAACTCGAAACTCGTTTATGTAGTGGTTTATTACACGTCTCAATTTTTATGGCCATGGCTAACGTAAAAAAATACAGATTTTATTTCTAAAAAATAACACATTTTACTTTGTTTTACTTAAAAAAAATAGTTTAAAAACGGCAGGAAATTATGCAAATATCGTTTTTCGAATTAATTTGTCTGGTTTCGAGCGCACGCTGAACGAATGTGAAGTTCAAGGAGCGAAATATTTAATCAATTTGCATAAAGAATGGATTGGAGATCACGTTTGCCTCTATTCTAAATTAAATTAGACTTTTGGAACTGTTTTAGAAAATATTACTTACAATTAGCAGAAAGGTCGATTTATTCCACCTTCTTTAACTAAGAATGTAGACAATCGAGATGTGGATTATCAAAACACGTCACAGTTATAAAGTCGGATGTGTTGATGTTAAGAGTCAAGAATTCAGGAAGACGTGGGACTAAAACGTTTCGTTACGTCAGTAAAATTTAGCAGAAATCGGTGAATGAAACCTTTGTTTTAGTATAATAATCAATACCATATTTAGTTAAGTGGAAAGAGAATTTTTTTGAAAGTAAACTACTCTAAACTTCGTACTAATTAAGGTGTTTTGGGGGTGGGCAAATTTAAACGGAAATTGCCCTATTTGTGCCGCGTTACATACGCGACGATCGCGTGGATGGACCCTCAGCTATAACAAATAACAGGCCCTTCCCCTCCACTAAGCTATAGACTCTTAAAGCCAGGCCCTAAACTGCGGCTTACGTGTAAATGCGGCCCTAACGACGACGGTCACGAAGAAGAACAATAAAAAGATAATTAATAACTAGCGTGGCGACTGTTTACACGCCCTACGCGCGAGTAATTCGTGACGTACCAATCGATTTTAAATCTAAAAAAAGAAAAACCACCCCCCTAACCGCACTCACCTCGAATACGAGAGACGGAGAGAGTGTGACGTGCCGTTTCTTAGAAAAGTCACGATAGTTCTGTGACGCTCAACGGCACTCCAACAACATCGGGGTGAGGAGCATTCGCTGCACACAGTGCACTATAAACGAACGATTGTCGTCGACTGTGCTTCCTTCTGTCGGACGAGAACTCAACCTTACTATACTCCGAGGGGGTATTTTTTTTATTTATTTATTTTTTTGTTTGTTCGACCTTTGACCCGGATGTCTGAGAAGTAGATAAAGCGGCGCGCTTTCGTCACAGTGTACTCGTGTGTAAAATCTGGAGAATTTTAAACGATTTTGATCGTTGAGGAAATTATTTAATAATTGTTATTGAACTCTTCGCCTTATATTTTTGCTGACGAGATAATCAGGCTTTACTCGTTCGAACAATAAAAATGCCCTTTTTTTGTTTGTGCGCGCGCTGTTTAATGGTGGTTTAACTGACCCGTAACGCGTTAAAAATATACACAGAAATTTTATGAATATTTAATTCTTACTTTTACAAATTTAACTGTCATTTAATGACAATTAAGCTATCAATTACATTATTAATACTCGATTTTTGATTATTTAATTACTAATTAAATGATCAATATCCTAAAGATTATGCGTCAAACTTAATAATGATTATGATAAATAACATAATTAAAATTAATTGTGATTATATACCAACCAGTAATTCTAATTAACTTTCAAGGACGTTGGAAGAAAAAAAATCCTTCAGGTAAGCTTGAATGGAATGATTGATGAAGTGTGTCAGTTGAATTTCCTCGACACTTGGATTATTTTTAATTATGGAGGAACACACCCCCGTAGGAGAGCTTATACAAGGCACCGGGCCCCATACGAGCTGCGCTACGGGGGTGGAGCGGGTCGCTTTTTGACGTTTTGTTACAACAAATGAAATACATAGAGCGCTTCTTTATTAATAAATAAATATTTTATTTTCTGTTAGTAAAAATAACATTAGGTTTAGGACCTGGTGTTTGGTAGAGGAGCGGGGCCGTAATAAGTTTAGTCCAACCCCGCTTTGAATTTAATTTATACTGTCATTTTATTTTAACGTCGTTTATGTTAACTTTACCTCAAAAATAACTTTTACATCGTCCACAGTTGCGACGTATTTCGGGGAGATCCATTTATAGAAAAACGATAGACACAGAAACAATGTTACCGCGAACGCCCCAATAACGGCGAAGTTGACCATAAATTCATTGGAGGCAAGTGTACTCCCATCTTCAACACATTTTTAATGGTTCCTATAGTGTATCGGTAGTATGTCCGCATCAGCGAGTAGCCCATTCTTTGAATCAATAATCGGACACTAAACTGATTGTCCTCGCTCGTTAACATTTCTCACGGATCCGATTCGAGGATCTCGGAACAAAGAGACAATCTTTTCGCAGATGGCAATCTACAGAAGTCATTGTTACATCAAAGCTCTACGTCACGTTTATTTTATAGTTGTTACGCTTTACGGATCACGGGGATATTCTCAATTTGATTCTAGTTATTAGAAAAAATTACATACGGTACGTAATTGAACGTGATCATTTGCATATTCTCGAGAGGGATGTCTTTCGTATTGAACGTATTAAAGATTTCAATTAATATCCTTTTCCGTTAATTATCAAATGTAAAAAATGTGACAATTTCAAAAATTTTCTGTATTATTATGAATACTGTATATAGTAGATACATAAAAGAAGTGGCTATGTATCCGTGGTTATCGCATCTTCATTATCACAGACGTCCGAATATACGTAAAACGAGTTATTCGGAATAGCCACAAAGTTCCTACGCTCGTTTTCTATGTTTCCTAGCCGAATATCTTGACGAGAAAATCAATTAGATGCGTACGGGTTCCTCAAACAGATTTAACTCGTGGCAATTGATTTTGTGCCACCGAGAGAAAGAAGAATTTTCAACTCATTTCAACTATTATAAACCTAAAAATGTCGACTGCGGAGTGGTCGAAGCAGTTACGGAGTCAACCTACCCCTCTCGGAGACCCGGAAACGAATGCCAGACAGCCGTCTAAAAATTTGTCGTGGATGTAAGTTCCGAATATCTCGGGCCCATTCCTCATCACCCAGTCGCTCCCATTGTAGGGATACACAATTTTTTTTTTACTTTTTTCTTCACTAATTTTTCTTCACCACAAAGTAAGGCAACTTCCAGCAGTCGACTCCGAGAGTCCGCGATTTAATTGCCAACTTTGATGCTCCGTTGTCTTACCGCGCATCGGGTCGAGAGAACGGGAGGGACGTTTTGCCGAATTGTCCGCTATCTCGGCCATTTGATTCGAATACGAGATGATGTTAGGGGTCGTAGATACGTCTGGGCATACGTACACGGTGGGCAGACTGGATTCCCCGGACAGACCAGCCGAATCGAGCGCGAACAATTGCGATGGCATCTTTGTCCACCATCCAGAGAAAGATGGAAACTTCGCTACAGAACCCTTCTCTTTCGGTACTATCGACAGGTAACCGAGACAGGCAAATTTGCACGCGCGGCGATCCTATCCGTCGGCGCTTCGACATCGTCAACTTTATTCATAGCGATAGCGTGACACGGCTCCGTTTGGGAATGGCACTGAAAGTTACAATTGCGGCTTTACCGTTAAATAGCGCATCGCATCCACTGCCGGTACGCCGATTGGGGGAGCCATCTAGTACGACAATCGGTCATTCCTATTATTGGTACGACGGACACGGACGACTTAGAATACGTCGGTACTTTAAGGCAGTGTTTCTTAACAGGGGGCCGCCAAATTACGCAAAATTTCCTTCAGAATATAATAAAAAGAAAATTGATGCAAACCGAATATCGCATCGAAAAGCGAAAGAAGAAAGATAAAGTTTTCGTATTTAGTTTTTCTTTATTTATTTATTTCTTCCTACATACAACTTTGTTAGTACGGAAGAAATAAATGCAAATATGTTACGTACACCGCAGTATTTAGTTGTTTTATTTCAAAGTAATTCTGAGAAACTATTAATGCTTGGAATATTAAAAATAATTAAAAATAATAGTAGGCTTTGAAAATTTAAATGTTTTTGCAAAAGATATGCAAAATCTTTACCACAAGTCGCGGGTGTTTTAGTTTTAGTTTAGTTTTTAGCATCGACTTTGGATCGAATAACAGCGCATTTCTTTCTTATATCGCGTGTTTAGTTTTAATTATTTATAATTAACCCATAAAAATGAGCAAAAAACACAAAGGAACATTAGAAAAATTTTTTAATGTAAGTTATGTTTTACATTTATTATATGAAGGAATCATTTTATTATAGATAATTTAACAAATATAAATTATTATTTAAAAAATGGGGTCACAAAAATGAAACGTTTGGTGGGCCGCGAGTATAAAAAGGTTAAACGAATTGTTTTTTTGAAAACGAAATTTATCAATTACAATTAATGTTGATACAAACGACAAAACCATTCGAATCCTCGATTAAAATTGAGTAAATCGCGATTTCGTTCTTCGGATAGCCACGCTTTTCCTGTTATATAGAACAGAGGGAAAGTATGGCGATGGGTCAAAAAATGACCCCTTAAGATTTATACATTTCTGAATTCCAGTTACCTCGAAACGTCGAAAAAAAATGGGGATGTTTTCTGTATGTATAAACGTTAATGCGTGTTGGGCACGATTTCGTTCACCCTCTTCGAAGCTTAATAACTCTTGCGCATTTTGTCGAAAATTTCTGAAATTTTGCGGGGAGGTTTTTTATTAGGGGGATTGACCCTATTAAATTTTGGTGTTAAAAGATCGAGAAGTGAGGGATATGAGAGAAACGTTTTTATATCTCGAGTGGGGTAAGAACTATTAAAGGTTTTACTGGTTATTAGAATATTTTTTTTTATAAAACTCGTCTCTACCTCAGAATAAAGCTTTTTGCCATTTTATAATAATTAATTTCATTAAAACTTTCTAAAATAAAACGTGATAAAAGATAGCGGCGCACGGACATTTGAACCAAGGTACGATGCTTTGTTTTTATCGATTTACGCGCAAAAAAGTGTTTACTTACGATACTCTATGGCAATATCGGGAATTTCACTTAGGGGTGCGCTTCGTGCTCAATATCGATATCCTTTGAACTCTAGTTCTACCGTAGAAAATTCTTTTCTACTTACTAAACTCTCCGCACCCCCGAATTTCGCCCCCGACATCGATAAATCGCGCGATTAAAAATAATTACGACGAGAGTTTTTACTGTAGTGAAGACACGCGAAGAAAATCCGGAAAACTCCACGCGACCGGTCAGTCGGTCAGACGCGAATCCCAATCGACCTACCAACGTTTAGCGATTTTATCCACTCGGGCACTGGTGAGCTTACGATTAAATATAAAAAGACACTCCTCTTCCCTCTTCTTAATTGGCAAATCCACTATCTTCGTCCTTTTGTATTCGTTAATACAAGAATTTACTTACCTACCATTTCGTCGGGGACCCAGATCTTCAGTTTATCGAGAGATACGTTTCCCATCTCCCATCCACGCTGTCGACCCTATTGTAAATCGAACCCACCCGAAATGGGCGTAATTGTGGCCGGTTATACGATCTACAATGCGCCTCCACCCTAATTAATCAATCAATCAAAGTTAACATTCCGCAAGATTGAGTTCGTTGTCCCGACACACAAATTCACTATCAACAACGACTTTCCCGAAGAAACGGTCGCTGTTTGCAGCTTCGACCGTATTAACTTATTTTACTGAATGTAATTGTTATTTAGGCCAGACTTTTATCGTCAGACAATCTAAAATTTATTCTAAGAAAGCATTATTTACAGTGATAATTTACAAAGAACGACATTAAGTTATACGGATCTTTAAAAACATTAACTGTTACACTGTTTGCATTGATGGCAGACAAATATCGAAACTCGAGAAATTCTGTAATATTCTTTAAATATTTTTTTTCTTTGTAGACTCTTGAACAATAAGGACCACCGATTTTCAAAAATTGAAAGAGTTCTTGCAATACATCAATCATTTTAAGCGGCAAAGATATCCAACGATTCTAAAAAGAAGGCGCCATTCTCTCGCTCTGGGGAACACGAAATCGAATCCGAACCATCGAAATATCCTAGAAATCTTTCGGGAATGGTCTACCCGGGATACGTCGGGGTCCCAATTCTCACCACTGAGCGTAACTAAAAGGGCCTAAGAGTAAAATATGAAGAGGCCCAAAAGTCGTGTAACCGAGATTTTTTAGACGGAACCACGAATAATCTGGATCTTAACGAAGCTATTGCGAACCGTTCTTAAAGAAATCTCGGTTAACAGACTTACGGACAGTTTTAATTATACAGTCCACCCCCTATAGCACTGTCGATTATTCCGTTTTATACGAATTCCGTGTTGTACGAGTCACTTAGATTTTTTACAAATACGTGTGCCGGGCCGTGAATGGCTCACGTATTTGTAAAATCTAAGTGACTCGTACAACACGGAATTCGTATAAAACGGAATAGTCGACAGTGTTATAGGGGGTGGACTGTATAATGACGTTTAATTAAAAAATTAATTTATATAGCAAATTACGTTAAAGTTGTAACATTTTCCAATGTATTTTCTTGATTTACGAATCCGAAAACTCTATTAAAAGTTGCAGAATGTTGCGCGGAAGTATATTGCAATAAACTCTTTCAATCCTATACTATATACATATTTTATAACAATTTTATATATTGTTTTCATTTGCATCGTTTCATATTCTTTGCTTTGTTTTGTTTTTTTTTGTTTCTAAATCTATACGACTTTTCACATTAATTCACAAAATACACATCTTCCTTGTTGTTTTTTCATTATATATTCACAACATAAAATGCTATTGGCAAGAAAAATATATATACAATTATTAACGACCTTTTATAATAATAATTTTCTCCATTAACGGATTATTTTCTTAAAAAATAAATAAAACTTTATACTTTGTCGTAACGTTCTCGACAAGATAAAGGAAAAGTAAAGACGAGAAAGGCAACTGATATTTACATAAATAACCAACCAATTTACTTTATAAAAAAGGGAAAAATATATAAATATATATTTAAATAATTTAATCACATTATGAACAAAATTATTGCACCATTTATCTGTCTGGAACTCGTGTTTATTCAGACGTTACTATTGTAAGTAGTAGAGATGTTTCTGTCTTCGCTTGGCTTTATTGTTGTTACATTTGCAGCCGCATCCGGTCTGATTCCCTTCAACAATTTCTAATAAAAAAAATTATTCGATAGTTTTTCAATGTTTAATTCAATTTTCTTACAGTAAAACCTGTCTAAAACGGACTTCTAAAGAGCGAACGGATAATAGATGCATTATCTAAGAACGAAACGATATGATACACGAAATAGTATTATAAACCTGTCTATCGCGGAAGATTTTTTGAGTACTGACCGTAACCTGTATAAAGCGGACTTTTTCGTAGCTAAATTTTAAATCGTAGGTTTACGATTGAATTTATATATAATATTGTTTTCTTTGTGGAGATTGGATTGGATATTCTACAATAAACTGGCCCCTAATTAGGTGTTAGTCACGTGAGAAAAATTCAAAAAAAACTCCACGTGGCTAACCTATTTGTAAGGTAATTTGCTAGATATTTTAAATATTAGACGGCTTCTTATTAGAGGCGATGTTAAACTTACCTGCCGTAGAGTTCCCGGTGTTCTAATAAGAGAGTATACAAAGTAAATTGGAATGCAAGAGAGGGAGGAGGCCATAAGTAGCCAGCCAACAGCTATGGACCAAGTTGGATAGGTGTAACCTTCCCGTTGTAGATGTTTATATTGCACCATGGCGCAAACGAATATACTCTAATAATAACAAAATCAGTTTAAAAATTGAATAAATGCAACGTAGAACTACAGTCAAACCTCGATTTAACGTCGCTGTTTGTTGGCCTTTGCAATTGTTACTAAATCGAATGCGGCGTTAAACCGAAAGATATCAAACAATGAGAATTATATCTAGTAATGAGGGCTGCGAACAAATTTGTGTTCGAAAGTCATTAGCGAATCCACTCGAGCTTTAAGAGCGAAGCGCTATTTCGGAGATCGTTATATCGAAGTTTGACTTTATATTTTGTCATTCCGTAATCATATTATTAGCATTTAACATAAATTAATAATAATTTTAACTTACAAATATAAAGATGGGACTTATGTATGTCCAGCAAACCCTCCAAAAAATTCCGGGGCGAAATCCAATCATTTCTTTGATCTGTTCAGAAAATTTTTCAGCTCCTATAATGTTTCATTTAAAATCGATTAGAAGAAAAGTAAATTGAAATAAAGTTACAATTGTTTAATTTAATAAAAGAAATTTTGTTTAGAATTGCGGCCACAAACAAATTAGCGGAGGAGACAAAATTATATGCGAAATAATACGTAACATAATGCCCACGAGTGTCAAAATAATATAAAAATTGCAGTTTTTAAATCCTTTAAGTCGCGAGAAGAATGGACATACTTTCCTAGTTGAAATTCCTTGTATTAATTGCGACAGCGTGCCTAAGCTCACATCTTACACTTTCCACCCCGTAGGTCCTTTTTAACCAGACCATTATGGTCTAGACACGGCCCTGGATAGAGCCGTAGGGTGATGAGAGACCGGGATGGACCACTTCCGAGATTCCACTTCAGTTAACTAATTATTATTAATTTTTTTAATTAAATATTTTATCAATGATTCATTTTACAAGCTGGTCGGATTCCGTTATTTTAAAAAATGTATTAATTAAATCGTTTATTTAACGATTTAATTTATTTAAAAGATGAGAATAAGTATGTACGCTCGTTTCCTTCGTTAAATTGCCAGAATTCAATAGCAAATAAGTATTCTGAATTATAATAATAAAATCAAAGTTCGGGTGATCTCAATTAGCGCTATTCGACACTGTCTAGGAGAGATTTAGCAATTCAAATGCAACCAAATCTGATATAACAACATTACCGAAGACATTTCCACAAAATACAATTACTACCAAAACTCGTCTTTTGGCGCTGTGGATTTCAATCCGCGTAATCTTTGTAAGGACACTTAAAACGTGTTGTTTGTCCAAGACACGTGGCAAATTTGATAGCCAGAAAGAGTAGCGCACTGCGTACGAAGAGCATCGTAGACTATTGAAGACACGCTCATTGTCGTCAGAATGGGGACCACATCGAGTAAGGTGCATCTCTAATCTCTCTGTATAGCGTGAGCGCTTTGCACACCGCCCGTATACGGAAAGAGTGGCCAATAAATCACTTTGGCAGCCAAGTTTTAGGCAAAACAGTGGAAATTTCTTCAGCGTAGGCGCTATATTTCAACAATTAGCTAATCCTACCGTAGTTCTTTTATAGTATTTCTGCCAATTATTATTAAAATTATTTGAATTTATTTTATTTTTACTTTTCGGACAAAATTAACAAGAAAATTCACTTAATTCTCTCCGATTTCGATGAATTTTGAATATCGTGTAAAGTAAGTAAGATATATCGGATCAATTAAGATTAATCTTGCGTAGAACCGTTTTAATTAAAGCCAATTTTCGTGAAATATTTTACTGTCAGAAATGTCAATAGTGCTCGATACGTTATGCCTCGCGCTTAATCCTTTCAAAATTATAACAATTAGTAATTAATTCGCAGTAAAATTTACAAATCACATTTCTTTTTCCTAATTTCTCTTAACAATTTTACAATATATTTTTCATTTATTTGTAAAGCTTTTCTAGCAGATAATGACATCATTTTTTTTCATATTTCATTACGATTTCAGTCGAGTAACAATGATAGAAAGCGGTTCGTCCGTCTTATATAGTATTTAAAATTGCTAAGCCCAGTTATGGTTAAGAAAGAGAGAAAGTAAACTTTTTTATTTACGACAAGATTTTTCTTTTTAATACGTAGAAAAACAGCTTAGTTATTATATTTAAAAATACGGGATTACGTTTAAAAGCCGTGTAACTTTGGACTTATCCTTTAAAAGGTTTTTGGAATAAATCAATCATACATTTTTAATTAATTTTACGGTGTCTGCCAGAAGCTTTTGCTTTTACGTCGCCTTTTTCATTTCCCAAAAGAAAAGAATGTCCTAAAACTATATGAAATTAACTCTATTACCAATTTCTTGCACGGTATTTTTTTTTACTTTTACAGAATTTACGAGCGATTTCGAAACACCGTTACTATCGAAATGATTATACCCGCAAGAAAATACGTAAATCACCTTTATTTCAATATTATGAAATTATATGATTATAGCGCGTAGTAATCACAAAATAGAATTATATATTTCTACAATACAGCATACGCCCCTTTAACTTTATAAATTCGTTTAAGTTCGTTACATTCTTCAAACGATTTTAAAGAAATAAACTGTGTTTTCCTGTACAGTACCTTCGGTATTATAACCTAGATTTGTTTCCGACCATACTTAGGCCTACAACGTGGAAACACGCTTATATTTGGCTAAACTATAACATTAAATCTCACCCTACTGGAGATACACACTACTCCCTTTATCTCTCCACCCCCTCGACCTTTATTTATCGTAATTTAATAGCATCAATCCCTCGTATCTCCGCAAAAATTCAGAAATTTTTGACCAAAATCGCAGGAGTTATTAAGCTTCAAATAGGGTGAAACAAACCGTGTCCCTCCCCTTTTTACCACTTACTTCAATATTGTTTGACATCGATTTGCTAATTGCTCGAATTTTGAAAGGATTAATTTATAATTGATTTTATATTGTTTCACTAAATTAGTTATACGGATTAAGAAGATCGGAGACTTCTCTATACAATTTTGCATCACGAACTAATAGAATTATTCATAAATTGCTTTATTTTTTTAATTTCGGGGTTCCTAGGAGTGTGCCTCGCGTGCCTAGTGGAAAATCCATCAACGACCACAATTATAGAGGAAGAACTCGTTTAACAAGTTATATTTTCTGTATTTTGGACAGAGAATCAAAAGCAGAAATTCTTAATTATCACTGTTTAATTCATCTGTCGGATTTAAGATGGATGCAATGGATGTCAGAATGTGAAAATCAGCATAAATAAAATTCCTGATTTGGTGAATGTAGGAGATGCGAATTCCATCAGGTAACTTGGCAACAGATTCTTTACGTAACTATTTCCTTTCTTCAAATTAATATAAAACTAAACTAAACTAAATTTCTTTATTTTTTTTATTAAGATATTTTTCCTCATTGAGTTATTTTCCCTCAAAACTAGAGAAAAATCCCTTTCCTGTATCCTACCAACCAACTGTATCGCTTCAGTCCAATGCTTATCTGGGTCATTCACGTGATCCTTCCAACATCAACGATTGCTTGTTTATATCAGATAGTTTCCTGCAATATTTTCTCTTCCTTGGAAAATTTACAATAGAGATCATTCGCTCGTACAATAATATTATTCATATTTATATATATTTTTTGAAAGAATACTTTACCACTATTACTGCTACTCCCATCCCTTGTGAAAGTGAGATAGGTTATATCTCTTCTTTCCATTCGTAAAACCGAAACAATTCTTAGAAGTAAGAACTTGATTGGATAAATTTAAATATGAATAGAAGGATTTTTACATATGTAAAGATGTAAAAATGTATTCTAAATTTTAAGACATTAACTTAATATACTTGTAGTGTCGTCAAGGTTCTTGATACTTTAGTAAATAAATCTTTTTTTTTTTTTTCCTGTATTTAAATATTTAAAAATATATATTNTTAATTTTAATTATTGTACAATTTACTACAGTAGTAAAGAAAGAAGTATAATCCACGTGATTCATCTATGCTGGAATTTCAAATCAGTCTAATCAATTGTTAAGAATTATGTATATATAAGTACAGCCAAACTCTCTGAAATTGGCACTAAACTGAAGTAATTGAAGCGATAAGAATTACGTGTAGTAACGAGGTCTTTTTGGCATTTGAAAGTTGAAGGGTTCTCTAACTTATATTCATTGGCATTTTATGGATGTAATATTGTTTAAGAGAGAGCTAAGTTTAGATTTATTTATTTAAATGAATGTTATAATTACCATACAACCAACAAACTGCTGCTGCTTCTACGAAAACTATGAAGAGCACGGACATTGATGTACCGTAAGCATCCAACAAATTGACAATATAGTTTCCTCCCTGAAGAAGAAATTTCAAAAACAGTTTCCATAAATAAGATCCTTTATGTGGTACGAAGAATATTTGGAATAATAATAATATTACTTACGTAAGTTGTAGTAGGGAGAGCGCAAAGATATATGCATAGTATGAGAACTGCCACGAAGATTTCTCGATGGTTACGTAAGAGTTTGGGATATTCGTCGCAAAGGCCAGTTATCATAGCTTCTAATCCTCCAAACTTAAAAATAATTTATTAAAAATTCAATAAAAAGAATATTTATATTAAAGGAATTTAATATCTATGGTCAATTTTTGCTTACAGTACTATCCAAGCCGAGTGTGATAAGCATTAGAAAGAATAATATTGACCAAAATGTAGATCCATGCATAGTTGCGATGGCTTCGGGATATACGATAAATACCAAACCGGGACCTGTTTTATAGCGGTATATCGTGCATGAATTTTAAAAAATAGCCAGAATATTATAAGATTTAAAGAGAAATTGTTAAGAAATTGAAAGATATACGTGAAAGTACCATCGGTTGCAACGTTGCTGATATCCTTCCTTTGCATATGCGCCATATATCCGAGTACAGAAAATATAACAAATCCAGCTAAAAAACTTGTCAGGCAATTGATCGTACTGGTAAAAATAGCATCCCTGAAATGATAAAGTCATTTGTCACGCATACAGAGCTTAACAACATCAACGGATAGATATGCAAATGCTAATTACTTATAGTAATTACCACTGAAATATACACCGATCAGACTGTTAAACGTGTAAATTCAAACCTGTAACAGTTGTTGTGGAATTTATTATAACTGGACAATGCCAATAATGTTCCGAATCCCGGTCCTAACGAAAAGAATATTTGGGTAGCGGCATCTATCCAAACCTGAAATTATAAATAAGAATATTAAGAGGTTAAGCTTAGTGTACGTATTCATTTAATGATTATTCAAAGTAAATACAAATCAAGAATTCTCTCGTACATAGGATGGCCCAAAAGTCAGTTATTTACTATAAAATGAGTGTTTTCTTGAACACTAAGCGGCATTGCCACATACTGAAAACTGTACCAACTCGTAACTGTACCAAATATGTTTTCCAGTTTGGCAGGTTTCCGTTTTAAACAGGTCTTTTTTTTACAGAGAAAATCGTTGCATTTTGAAGAATTTCCCCCTTTAGACAGGTTTCCGTTTTATTAAGGTTCCGTAAACCCTGTTTAAAACGGAATGCATTTTCCGTCTGGAAAGATTTCCTTTTTATAGAAGATTCCGCATTTATTAATTAACTCTTCGTTTCCTTCCAAGATTTATTATCCATTTAGGCAGGTTTTCGCTTTATAGAGGTTCTGTTTTAGACAGGTTTTACTTTATATACCAAACAAAACTTGTGAAACGGGATGAACTATAAAGGTGAAAGGAGTAGGTTCGATTCTCCGTGCAGGAACTGAACCCACGACCTTCTTTTGATACACTTCTAGACTACGAAACAAAGTTAGATATATTGAATATCATTAATTTAAAGGAGTATTTTGTCTATTCTGTTTTATTTGGGCGATCTATGGAGAAGGGAGCCACCCAGGAGGATTTTCTATAGAAAACTGACCCCTATTTAGGTGTCACAACCGTGGAAACTCTACGCGGAAAACTCTACGTGCCAGCCCGAACCCACGATTATTTTGTATTTTATTTAATAAACAAATACGAGAAATTCATTATAGTGAATAAGGAATTATTTTAACATCAAATAAAATGAACTTACTCTACTTTCCAATAACATCTCCCACTTTGGCGAAAGATAATATTTAATTCCCTCCAAAGATCCTTCCAGAGTGACACCTCGACACAACAGAATTAATAGCACTAGATAAGGCATTGTGGCTGTAAACCAAACAGCCTGAAAAGAAAAAAAAACAGCGTAAATTATCTTAAAGTAAACTTGTAAAATAAAAAAATAAATTAAAATGAAACTTTTATGACACATTAACTCGGACACTTTCGGTACTAAATTTAACATTGAAATTCTGAATAGTTTTTAATTGTCTTTAAGAATAGATTGGATTTTTCTAATCAAGATGACGGTGAAGATTATTAGTTTAATAAATTAAGATATCCTTGATCTTGTTTATGATTCAAGAGCTGACTCAACAGAACGGAACGTAACCATTTGAGTGAATGATAATTAATTTTATGGCATCGGTTATAATTATGTAAATTGATCATCTTACAACCATTCTGCTTTTATAATCGATATTTTATCTTATACAATATATTGTAATTCGTCTAGATAGATTCTATTCATTCGAATTTTGTGTAGTATCTGATAAGATTATTATTTAAATAGTAATCGCGTACAAGCGGGCTCCAAATAATGGTTTAGAAAAATGATAGTTTTAATTATAAAGCTCCTATAAAATCACTGTAAAACTTTACTAAATTACAGAAAAGATTCCTTAAAAATCTACAATATTAATTTAATTTTTAAGCATTTATATAGATTTTTTTCCTTCTAAATTTTATACAAAATCATTCGTTTATTTTGAGTATTTTTAATTAATATTTAATTATTTATTTATATAAATATAAATTTATTACTTAAATTAACGTTCTAATTATTTATCCTAGATATATTTTATTAATTTCTCACCTTTCCTGCACTTTTTACGCCTTTCCAAAGAGAAAAATAGACTAGAACGAAGACCGCCATCAAACAAAGAGCGAGAGACCATTTGATCGGCCCTACGGCTTCTATCCCTTGTGAACGTTGAATTTCCAAAACNTAGAACCAATCGTTTAAATAATTTCTGTTTATTTATAAATACTTCCTTCCCTGTTGATACTTTGTGATAATTTAATGCATTTGCGATGGTGAAGTCCCTCCGCAGTGGGCCACGAGACGTCATAACTTACTTTATTGGAAATAAATTTAATATTAATGGAAAAGTTTAAAACAATTTCTAAAGATGAAATTATTGAGTTTTAATAAAGAGATTTGAAAATATTGACAATAATTACAAAGCGTATCATTTGATAAAATGTACATTCTCAATTCAAAGATGTCCAATCTGAATAAGGCAGGCGCTAATCACCAATTACATCAGCGGGACTTGGCATTCTTATCAGGATCATAGCGAGGAGACATTAATGCTGGAATATTCTAACCTAAAAGTGTTTTCCACTATTGACAGCGTACCTGTAATAATTGATGGGTGGCAAATATGGCGAGAATAGCGCGTGCAATCCATTGTTGGTTTATGATGCGTACCAGAATGAAGATCTCTAAGAGTGGCGGAGCGTGGAATGATTGGAAAGGAAGTTAGAGGGAGACAATTCGCACCACTCGACTCGACTGTGTGATGTGTCACGCGCCAATGAATATCCCCACTACCAATCTGAATTCCCACTATCTAAGTCTATGACTGCGTGATTTATATACTCTCCTGTTATAGATTTTATTGGTCCCTATGGGAGCACGTGCTGAAAGATGATACAGTACACTCGATAATATGTTTTTAAATAGAAGGATCTACTGAGATAAAATTAATTACTAGATAAAATACGATAAAAAGTTAAAGTGTATATATATGTATTTTTTTTTAATTTTAAATTTTAATTTAAATAATTGCCCTAAAATCATGTTTATTTAATGATAAAGTCGAGATGAGCATAAATGTTTCGACAAAAAGTTGAATGAAAATTTATGGCTCGTTATCAACAGGTTGCGAGTGTCTATCACTCTTGGGTTGTCAATAATATTGACCTGTCAACCGAGTTCACCCTCCAGATGATTGGCTCTTCTTAATTTACTGAATAAATATCTACTGATAATGACGTCTTCTGTCTCTAACGCCCTTCTTTTATTTATAAAACTTCCAGTAGACAATAGAAAGAAAAAAGAGGGTTTAAGATAGCAACCGTCATTACTTACTTCGTATCTACTACCCTAGACGGATATTAATGGTGTATTCTTTAGTAGTTTGCTTATAAAACTTAATATATATTTTTAAATTAATATATAATAAAAAATTCCAAGAGATTTAAGTTAATCGAAAACTATTTTCTGAAGGATTTTTAATCAGATAAGTGAGAAAACCCGGATAAAAGGGCGATAAATATAAAATTGGCAGTTTATACTGTATTGGAAGTGATTTTCTTTAAATAAGAAGTAAAATATTCGAGTTGTCACACGAAAAATATCAAAATATGATGAAAAATCGAATTTTATTTGTCAAGACAGTTTTCTCGGATGAAGAATTTTACTAATATATATATGGAAAGAGGATCTAAAGACTCAATTGAAATATATTTTCGTGTGGTTTTAGATGATGAACACTTTTATTTACTGTAACTTTGAATTTTTTACATACAAAACTATAAAATTAGAAATCGAACTCTTGTTTTAGTAGCGGCTTTGCCCCTGTACATCATACTTCTCCTAAAAGCAACAGAGTCATGCCGGTCATCTATGTAACTCTGTTCGGGGGAAAGTTTTTGAATTGAATTCACGTGACTTCCGGTTTAGACCGGAAGTTCGTATACAGTTATTCAGGGTCTCCTCTCATACGCTTTCCGTATCCAGTCTTAACTTTCATCTATCCGCCATCGTTCTCGAGATTAAGAAAGAACAGACAGACAGACGACAGTGGGAATTTATAGGTCTACAATATTTTAAAATTGGAGCCCAGTAAATTTAAAAAGTTTGCATCGCTTTTTAGTTTAATATTTTTATTTATTTATTTATACAGGAGATGTAACTAAGACGGTATTATCCACCCCATACGAGGAACAATAAACGAACCCGAATTAAAATATATATTAACATTATAGAAATATTACTAAATATAACACGAATAACTTATAAATATTTAGATTTATTAAAAATAAATTAATTCAAATATTATATTAAATATATAATAATTCTAATGTAAAAATATTAAAAGATTATATAGAAATTTCTCTAGTAATTTTTGTTAATGAATTACCTACTCGAAATACTCCTGTGCGGGACTCGTGGATAAGTTTGAAGAATTTAACCTTCTTTCTGCCAGTGTTAAGCAGAGATGTGTATTCCAGCTATTATCACATCTAGTCCAAGGTAATTCCGAACTGAATGAAGCGAAGAGGAAGTACACTGCCCATGCAATAATCGTATTATAGTACATAGCCATGTACAAGTCTATCAGACAGATCGCGTACCCTATACCTGAAAATATCGTTCATTTTTTAACAAAATATTCCTTTAATTTGGTAATATTTATGTGTAAGAATTGCTGTTTTCTAAATTAGGTAATAACTCTTAAATTTAGAACCAATCGTTTAAATAATTTCTGTTTATTTATAAATACTTCCTTCCCTGTTGATACTTTGTGATAATTTAATGCATTTGCGATGGTGAAGTCCCTCCGCAGTGGGCCACGAGACGTCATAACTTACTTTAACTCTTTCGATGTCCGATCTTCTGTGACGTCATTATTTCGTTCCTCTTCCGTTTACTCGCCCATTGCGGAGGGACTTTACCATCGCTTAGTGATAATTTCAAAGGTTCTCCTCCCGAATTTGGAAGTTTAGTACGTAAATATTACAAGTTACACCGAAGAAACCACAGATTACTAACTTATACAGAACTATTTGAAAGTGATTGAAAAAGAGCTGCTCCAAATGGCAAATGTTATAATTATTCTTCCTAAGGATTAATTTTATATATTATTAAACATCATTGAACTAACCTTTCATCATAGGGCACAATTTTTGCCAAATTGTAAGACAACCATTCCTGTAATACTGTCCAAGCGCTAGCTCCAAATAGAACAAAGGTAAACCTCCAAATATTAACATGATAACATATGGTATGAGAAAAGCACCTGTAAATATGGTGAATAAATTATGGAAATTTATAAATATTTATAGAATATTTTGCTTTATCTTTAAATAAGATTGTTATATATTTATTAAACAATACACAGTACACATAAACTACATATAATATGCTTATTAGATATCATATATATTAAACAACGTGGCCAAAAGTCAGTTAACCAGTCTTCCCGGGTGCATTTGTGAATATGAATTACAAATGGAGTGTTGTAGTTTATGTATTTAACAAGAAAGAACTCAGGTAAAGGTAAAATAATACTGTTTTGGTGACAAAATCTTTTATTAATGCTACACTTTACTTGTTTTTATTATTGCATTAATATCTCTTCTAATATTTTAACATTTATTTTCTAAAAAATATATGATTTTTATGCATTTATTTTCTGATTAAATGATATCGCCTGCACAGAATTACATAGCAAATGTTTCACTTTAGTGTTTTAAAGGATATATTTATAACAAAATTAACAGCTAATTTTAAATGATGCGTGTTTAATTAAATCATCCTGAATAAAATTTAAGTAATTCTTGTAGCATAAAAGTGGATTTGTACAGTTTAAAAATTGTTACAAATAATTGTAATAATCTGTATAGAAAATAAATTGTAAACAGAATAAGATCTCATAATTTTAAATATGATCTAAAAAAATATTGTAACATTAATCTTTCTGTATCGAGAAATCTCCAGTTTCTTATAAGATAAATATATTTCTGGAGTAGAATACATTTCTTGTATAGGAGAACCATCGAACAGGTCGCGGGTTCGCGCCTGATGGTTGATTACGTGGAGTCTTCCACGTTTTCTTCGCGTGTCTAACACCTAGGCCCGGCCCCAGCTGTAGATCTTTTTGCATTGGGCCAAAAAATTTAAATATACCTCGCTAACACCTAGATTTAGGGGTCTGTTTCGTATAGGGAGGCATAATATTAATATCTAATCTTTAATTTAATTAATTTTAATACTTTTAAGCCGAATAATAAAGAAAATGAGCGCTATATTTAGTGACGCGAGGAAGACATTTCCTTAAAATAATAAAAATTAGTTCCAAAACTAACCACTAGGGCACTTTTAGCGCTACGAGGAATGAAGATGCCGTTTCACACTTAAAAAATGTCGTTTACCGAGAACACGTTGCGCATTTGGCGGCCTGACTGTACGAGAAGCATCAAAGAACATTAATTATGGTAGCCGTTGAAAACACTGTTCATCGCCTTCAGAATGGGTACCACATTGAGCAGCTGAGTATCTCGTTTCTTGTAGCGCCAAAAGTGCCATAGTGATAAGCTTTTGTACTATTTTTTCACGGAAATGTCTTCGTACCAGATTTCGACTGTTAAATCTCTGTAGACAATAAAGATACTTTAATTACGATCAATCGGTATCAATAAATGTTTGAAAATATACATTGTTTTTAATAATTTCGGTTATTCACAGATTAATTCTTCTGTTTATTTGAAATTTTCTTTAGTAAACGATGCAGTTGCGAGAAAATATCTAATAAATTAAAATATACATTCTATATATGCTATTTAAAGAGGAAAGCAATTCAGTTTTTATAATGGTTAACCGACTTTTGAGTCATCTTGCGTAGAAAATGCAATAGTTGCAGGCAACTCTGAACTGTGACAACTGTAATCATTTATTCGAACGTATTATTTTTCTTTTAAATGTTACAATAAGCGTAAGTGAATAAAATATTCTTTCGCTAGTAGCCACGTTCAATTACATGCTAAAGTAATTTCTTACTTGGTTGGACGAATCTACGTGTGCACGAACCACAAATCATTCTCAAACACGACATTTCATTTCTAACTTATTTTAAATAAGTATTAAAAATATTACAAATAAAACGTAACTCGTGATAATTACTAACAAGTTACTATATTATTATTATTATTATTTTGCATCATATTTGTGTTTTATAGAAACAGAACTTTGCTGTATTTGGAAAAGAAGAGTTAAAACCGAATACAAACGAGCCGAAAAATTGTCAGCAGCAGGATTAAAAATGATACTGATAATAACATCATCAGCATCATATAATGATGGTTCGTGTGATGATAATGCTTCTGTTATAGCGTGTAATATTGTAGCTTAGTATGTTTTACAATTAATGCTTACAGATGGACAATTAAATATCTGTAATATTATTTTTCTGTTATTTAAATTTGATCCTGTTTTAACGTTAAACGAGAGCTAAAAGTTTGGAACTTTACTCGTAGGCTAATCTACTGTTCGCGTACTTTAAAAATCCTATATACATAGGCTTACTATATGTCCGGGATTAACCGGACAACTCGGGAATTTTATTGTTTTCTGGCTTCTCGTCCGATCCCTCTATATGCCCGAGATTCCAAAATTATAGACAATAAAGTACACATTTAGACACACTTCTGTATTTGAAAAATGTCATTTAGGCCGTCCATAGATGAAAGAGCAACGAATATTGTTTGATTGACGTAGAGTTGTACGTATCACTGTTAGAAACAGTGTAGTATTCGCGTACTTATCGGTAAGTTCGACAAACAAAATCGATATACAAATACACTTTCGGCTCAATATCTCGATTTGCTCATGAGATTGTATGGTAAACCCGTGTATACAGTATTCAAAAGTGTCTTATTACCGCTTATTTACGGCGAGAACACCAATTCGGCGTGCTCGTGAAAAGTTTTTACGCGGCGTTTTACTGATTCACTATGAAAATAATGAAAATTGATTCTCCGGTAGCTGGTTTAAAGATATTTTATACGTGTCGTTTTAAGTACACGGTTATTTTTTGGTGTAACCTACGGGCAAATGTCCAAGTTGTTAGCTTCAAATCTTCCTGTTTTAACGATCTCTGTACTATTCCACAGTTTATTAACTTTTTTAAAATATAATTTAAGAACATTTATCTACCATAAGAATGCCGAGAAAGTCCAGAAAATTGTCAGCTTTTTTACCATTGCTTATTTTACTAAATTACCGAAGTTAACGCTTACTTTAATTACGTATTTTGAATCTATCACTTGGTATTCGTCAAATCAATCATACAAAATAAGCACTATATATATAATGGATTTACAAAGTTGAGGGGTAGTTCGGATCCTGGGTTCCTTAGTTACTCTACTGTAAGGAAACAATACTATTGATAGAATACATTATTAATGTAGTGTAGAACACGCTACATTATTACTGTGTTCTTGTTTCATTACAGTAGCTTCCTGGGTCCAAGCTTCACGGGTAAACACTGGAAGTTCGCGCCTGGCCAGGACGTGGAGTTTTCCGGGTTTTCTCCACGTCTGTAACGCCCGAATGGGACCAGTTAGCCTTAAAAGATCTCCCGGAAGGCATCCCCTCTTAGCATCCCCTCTTGCCTTAACACACACGAGAAACCATTGAACAGTGTGTTCAATGGTACTACGATGCTTTTTGTGTGCAGATTCTCTAGTACGGCTCTTGGCTTTTTCAGCGCCAAAAGTACCCCAGTGGCAAGTTTTGGTACTAATTTTGGTAATGTCTTCCTAGTATTCAGAAATGTCATCGTGCCAGATTTAGCTGCATTTGGACTTTTAAATTATAACGTTAAATAGGGGTACTTTAATTACCATTGTATTATGAAACGATCAAAATATTTCAAAACAGAATAAATTCTGATTTATTTATTTATTATTTTTTAGCCAATAAAATCAGTAAATATTTATCTGATAATTTTATATTAAAAAAGGTTATTCCTAAGATAATTTATTTTTTAATAAATCAATTTGACTGGTATAGAAATGCCATTTTAATATAAAATGGGATTTCTATCTTATCCCAACTCAATTATTGTTAACTCTTTTTTTATATATATAAAAAATAAATAAACAAAATAAGTAAATATTTATTTATTTATAAAATTCCAGCTTAGTTTTATTGATTAATAATTTTCTAGTATAAGAAATTAAGGAGTGAATTTAAATATTTAAATTTTTTTTAAATAATAGAAAGCAATTAAAATTAGGTTTATTGCAAAAAAATATGAGGCTCATATAATTTTTTCTTGATAAATAGACTTATCTGTTGATAATTACCTAATTATGTATTGCCTCGTTATATTTTAACAACGTACGATATATAAAATCCAATATCTACTAATTAGTTTCATTTGAAGCGCTTAGTAAAATGTGGTTATAAAATTTAATAACTAGATTAAATATTTATATATTTTTAAAACAAGATATTTTTATTTTTCCTTTTAAAACTGATAAAACAATTTAATATTGAGATACTTTTCACTGTATTTTAACAGTAAGGAGTACCAAGGAGCGCTTTATATCTTCGGGGGGCCCTGGAAAATTTGAATTTGGGGCCCCGCGTACAGTGTTGATTTCAGACATTTATCTTCGAGGGAACTTTTCGGAGAATATTTCTTCTTATAAAAGATTGGGCCTCCCGTTGTGGGGTCCCAGAATAATTTACCTTTTCGACTACAGGATAACGCTCCACCGAGGAGTAGGGCCTACTTTCTGTTGTACTAATTACTAATTAGAGGCATGTAGGGGTAAAATTACAACGATGCCGAGCGATTAGAGTAAGAGATAATGCTAGTATTACACTCTCCTTGTAAGAATGTAGTAAGAAAATTACTACACTTTAATTATACTTACATAATATTAAAGCAGTAATTAATAATAAAAGTTACAAATTACTTCATCTATAATTGAGCAATTTATAATTATAAAAATTACAATTACAATTCGATTTAGTTGTAAGAATGTAGGCGCAATAGCGTATTTAAAACTATTACAAACAATACAATTGCTTATATTAAGTTGTAAAAATACGGGCAAATACACGTAGTAAATATTTGTATTTTCATCCATTTTTACCTAAAAAAAGTAAATTTTTACTCCAAAAAATCGAAGTTCTTTACTACACTTTCTCACTCGTTGAATGTTTCTTTACTATAATTGAGACTTCCTTTTCACGTTCGACCTTCTTGCATATAATTGAAAACATTTATTTTCATGTCTTCCCTTTGTTAAAAAAAACATACCATAAATGTCCATCAGATTTAAGGAAGAATGGAAAGTTAACTTCGATTTAAACGTGATTAACTTTACAGGAAAAGTAAGAAAATGCCCCAACCACCAAATGAGTAGCTTTTATAAATCATTTATTTTTTTAAAATAAATATAAAATTTAAAGCTTGGTACACGTGTACCGGTATACCCGAACGTGTAGATAGAAAAAAAGAAAAGGTGACGGCTCTGTTAGGTTCGGGTGTACTCGGATTAAAACAATAAAAGTAGAGAAAATTAATCGAATTTTTATAGGAAAATAATGAAAAAAAAATATATATTTAATTTTTCTAGTCAATACTTAAAAGAGAAAAATTACAATTTGCAATTAAATTTATCGCATTTCGGAACACTTAAAATTGCAAATTTTCAGTAAAAACTTTGTTAATTTAAGAAAAATAATTATTTTATTTTATTTACTGACAAGATACGCTAATAAATTTTCTAAACATTTGCTTAAAATCTAATTTTAAAGCCATGCAACTTAGAAATAATTTACAAAAAAAGCTGCAAAATAGTGTAGTTTGAAGAATTTTGCAATTAAAAGTCGACTTACCTCCTCCGTTTCGGTAACAAATGTAAGGAAATCGCCAAACATTACCCAAATCCACAGCAAAACCAATCACGGCTAATAAAAATTCGATTTTTTTATCCCATGTTTCCCTGGAATCGGAAGTTTGCCTTATAGAGACTACAGTTTCGACTGTCGACGTTTTCACTTCCGTTCCGTCAACTTCCGTTTTCAGGTTCAAGTTCAGATTCTCGGAGCTCGATGACATCCTTACTTTGTGGCCGACACTACGTAACGCCCAAATATCGTTCGGGTATCTCAACTTTGTCATACCCGAGCATGCGCTATACTTACCACCAACATTATCCTTCCTATACTTTAACCCCCCTCTCGACCGACCGCCTTCGTCTTCTTAACACTTTAAACACTCTTTAATATTAATAATTAGTGATTAAAATGTAATTATTCTCCCTTAGAAAGTTCAAAAAAAGTGCATTTTTCTCGCCTAAAAGTTCTGATTTTCGCACTCTTCCACCTTAAAATTACGCTGTATAAAATTCATATAAAAAGTTAAATGCGTAAATTACGGCATAGAAGAGGGGTGGAGAACGTTCTATATTAAATTTTATACAGAAGATTAGCGTTATAGACGGGTATTATACTGTCTAGAAGTAGTATACGAAACTGTATATACGCGGTATAGGGATATTATACTATATTTTGTATAGATAATATAGCTTTAACTTTATATGCCTTTAGAATAAACACTATTATAAGGGGGAAGCGGATGAAGGACGAAGAAGGGAAGAGGATAAGAAACTAAGAAAGCCGTTTACTGTACAGAATTATGAATAAAATATTAATAAATTTACTTACAATTTAATAAAATGTATAGAAAGAAGCAAAATTCCCACTTTTAGAACTTAAAAAGTACTCGAAATTTTATTCAAAAAGTTAAAATATCAACGGAAGAAAACGTTTTTTTTTTAGAAACAAGTCAAATATTCTTAAAGACAAGATATTGATTTTATAGTCATAAAATTTCACATAAAATTCACATTTTTATTCTACTCCATCTTCTTCTTTAAGTATATAAATTTTAAAAATTATAATTCTTTTTTTTATTATGGATTATTATTATTATTTTTTTTTATTATAATTCCTCATCAATTTAGTTTAATATCTAGATAATGCGATGATAATATTTTAAGGTTGGATGCTCTGTTCTCTTATCCACGTCGCATCTGTTTATGGCATGGTAATGAAAAGATGTTAATAGATCCCTAGTAACTCCATTATCATAAATACTTAAAGAATTTTCCCAATTTATATTTTAAAAATTCATCAAAAAATCTCTTTTCATTCAGCCACAAATCAATAAATTATTGCGGTTTGTTTTTGTTTATTTTGTAAATTTAATTAATTTTCACAACTATATAAAATTTATTAAGTCATTTTTCTATGCAATTTTCGAATAAAAACATTATTTTAAAAAGCTACTTAATAACTGTATAAATAAACGTACAGCTAAAATACAACTGCATAAATACAACTACGCATTAATAGTTTATGATGTGGTAAAATAACGTGGAGAGGCCTCCAATCTTTTGTACGTAGGGCCTGGAAAGATCACCGATAGTAAATGATAATGACTGTTATCGGTGGCGCGTTACGGCTTTATGGGACACTGACAAATTTGAATTAGGGGGCCCCCGTATATAGTGTCGATTTCAGGCATTTTTCTTATAAAAGGTTTGGGGCCCCCTGTCGGCCAGGCCCCCGGGATAACGCGCCACCCGCATTAGTGCATAAATACATATTTTTTAACTACAACAGCTCTACTTTATACGATAAATTAACACGTGTTTTTTGGAAATATTCAGTAAAATATCTTATATAAATAGAGAATATATATATATATTTTGGTAGAGAATTTCGAGAAGGGCCTTTGTTNCTTTCGATGTCTGATCTTCTGTGACGTCATTATTTCGTTCCTCTTCCGTTTACTCGCCCATTGCGGAGGGACTTTACCATCGCTTAGTGATAATTTCAAAGGTTCTCCTCCCGAATTTGGAAGTTTAGTACGTAAATATTACAAGTTACACCGAAGAAACCACAGATTACTAACTTATACAGAACTATTTGAAAGTGATTGAAAAAGAGCTGCTCCAAATGGCAAATGTTATAATTATTCTTCCTAAGGATTAATTTTATATATTATTAAACATCATTGAACTAACCTTTCATCATAGGGCACAATTTTTGCCAAATTGTAAGACAACCATTCCTGTAATACTGTCCAAGCGCTAGCTCCAAATAGAACAAAGGTAAACCTCCAAATATTAACATGATAACATATGGTATGAGAAAAGCACCTGTAAATATGGTGAATAAATTATGGAAATTTATAAATATTTATAGAATATTTTGCTTTATCTTTAAATAAGATTGTTATATATTTATTAAACAATACACAGTACACATAAACTACATATAATATGCTTATTAGATATCATATATGTTAAAAAACGTGGCCAAAAGTCAGTTAACCAGTCTTCCCGGGTGCATTTGTGAATATGAATTACAAATGGAGTGTTGTAGTTTATGTATTTAACAAGAAAGAACTCAGGTAAAGGTAAAATAATACTGTTTTGGTGACAAAATCTTTTATTAATGCTACACTTTACTTGTTTTTATTATTGCATTAATATCTCTTCTAATATTTTAACATTTATTTTCTAAAAAATATATGATTTTTATGCATTTATTTTCTGATTAAATGATATCTCCTGCACAGAATTACATAGCAAATGTTTCACTTTAGTGTTTTAAAGGATATATTTATAACAAAATTAACAGCTAATTTTAAATGATGCGTGTTTAATTAAATCATCCTGAATAAAATTTAAGTAATTCTTGTAGCATAAAAGTGGATTTGTACAGTTTAAAAATTGTTACAAATAATTGTAATAATCTGTATAGAAAATAAATTGTAAACAGAATAAGATCTCATAATTTTAAATATGATCTAAAAAAATATTGTAACATTAATCTTTCTGTATCGAGAAATCTCCAGTTTCTTATAAGATAAATATATTTCTGGAGTAGAATACATTTCTTGTATAGGAGAACCATCGAACAGGTCGCGGGTTCGCGCCTGATGGTTGATTACGTGGAGTCTTCCACGTTTTCTTCGCGTGTCTAACACCTAGGCCCGGCCCCAGCTGTAGATCTTTTTGCATTGGGCCAAAAAATTTAAATATACCTCGCTAACACCTAGATTTAGGGGTCTGTTTCGTATAGGGAGGCATAATATTAATATCTAATCTTTAATTTAATTAATTTTAATACTTTTAAGCCGAATAATAAAGAAAATGAGCGCTATATTTAGTGACGCGAGGAAGACATTTCCTTAAAATAATAAAAATTAGTTCCAAAACTAACCACTAGGGCACTTTTAGCGCTACGAGGAATGAAGATGCCGTTTCACACTTAAAAAATGTCGTTTACCGAGAACACGTTGCGCATTTGGCGGCCTGACTGTACGAGAAGCATCAAAGAACATTAATTATGGTAGCCGTTGAAAACACTGTTCATCGCCTTCAGAATGGGTACCACATTGAGCAGCTGAGTATCTCGTTTCTTGTAGCGCCAAAAGTGCCATAGTGATAAGCTTTTGTACTATTTTTTCACGGAAATGTCTTCGTACCAGATTTCGACTGTTAAATCTCTGTAGACAATAAAGATACTTTAATTACGATCAATCGGTATCAATAAATGTTTGAAAATATACATTGTTTTTAATAATTTCGGTTATTCACAGATTAATTCTTCTGTTTATTTGAAATTTTCTTTAGTAAACGATGCAGTTGCGAGAAAATATCTAATAAATTAAAATATACATTCTATATATGCTATTTAAAGAGGAAAGCAATTCAGTTTTTATAATGGTTAACCGACTTTTGAGTCATCTTGCGTAGAAAATGCAATAGTTGCAGGCAACTCTGAACTGTGACAACTGTAATCATTTATTCGAACGTATTATTTTTCTTTTAAATGTTACAATAAACGTAAGTGAATAAAATATTCTTTCGCTAGTAGCCACGTTCAATTACATGCTAAAGTAATTTCTTACTTGGTTGGACGAATCTACGTGTGCACGAACCACAAATCATTCTCAAACACGACATTTCATTTCTAACTTATTTTAAATAAGTATTAAAAATATTACAAATAAAACGTAACTCGTGATAATTACTAACAAGTTACTATATTATTATTATTATTATTTTGCATCATATTTGTGTTTTATAGAAACAGAACTTTGCTGTATTTGGAAAAGAAGAGTTAAAACCGAATACAAACGAGCCGAAAAATTGTCAGCAGCAGGATTAAAAATGATACTGATAATAACATCATCAGCATCATATAATGATGGTTCGTGTGATGATAATGCTTCTGTTATAGCGTGTAATATTGTAGCTTAGTATGTTTTACAATTAATGCTTACAGATGGACAATTAAATATCTGTAATATTATTTTTCTGTTATTTAAATTTGATCCTGTTTTAACGTTAAACGAGAGCTAAAAGTTTGGAACTTTACTCGTAGGCTAATCTACTGTTCGCGTACTTTAAAAATCCTATATACATAGGCTTACTATATGTCCGGGATTAACCGGACAACTCGGGAATTTTATTGTTTTCTGGCTTCTCGTCCGATCCCTCTATATGCCCGAGATTCCAAAATTATAGACAATAAAGTACACATTTAGACACACTTCTGTATTTGAAAAATGTCATTTAGGCCGTCCATAGATGAAAGAGCAACGAATATTGTTTGATTGACGTAGAGTTGTACGTATCACTGTTAGAAACAGTGTAGTATTCGCGTACTTATCGGTAAGTTCGACAAACAAAATCGATATACAAATACACTTTCGGCTCAATATCTCGATTTGCTCATGAGATTGTATGGTAAACCCGTGTATACAGTATTCAAAAGTGTCTTATTACCGCTTATTTACGGCGAGAACACCAATTCGGCGTGCTCGTGAAAAGTTTTTACGCGGCGTTTTACTGATTCACTATGAAAATAATGAAAATTGATTCTCCGGTAGCTGGTTTAAAGATATTTTATACGTGTCGTTTTAAGTACACGGTTATTTTTTGGTGTAACCTACGGGCAAATGTCCAAGTTGTTAGCTTCAAATCTTCCTGTTTTAACGATCTCTGTACTATTCCACAGTTTATTAACTTTTTTAAAATATAATTTAAGAACATTTATCTACCATAAGAATGCCGAGAAAGTCCAGAAAATTGTCAGCTTTTTTACCATTGCTTATTTTACTAAATTACCGAAGTTAACGCTTACTTTAATTACGTATTTTGAATCTATCACTTGGTATTCGTCAAATCAATCATACAAAATAAGCACTATATATATAATGGATTTACAAAGTTGAGGGGTAGTTCGGATCCTGGGTTCCTTAGTTACTCTACTGTAAGGAAACAATACTATTGATAGAATACATTATTAATGTAGTGTAGAACACGCTACATTATTACTGTGTTCTTGTTTCATTACAGTAGCTTCCTGGGTCCAAGCTTCACGGGTAAACACTGGAAGTTCGCGCCTGGCCAGGACGTGGAGTTTTCCGGGTTTTCTCCACGTCTGTAACGCCCGAATGGGACCAGTTAGCCTTAAAAGATCTCCCGGAAGGCATCCCCTCTTAGCATCCCCTCTTGCCTTAACACACACGAGAAACCATTGAACAGTGTGTTCAATGGTACTACGATGCTTTTTGTGTGCAGATTCTCTAGTACGGCTCTTGGCTTTTTCAGCGCCAAAAGTACCCCAGTGGCAAGTTTTGGTACTAATTTTGGTAATGTCTTCCTAGTATTCAGAAATGTCATCGTGCCAGATTTAGCTGCATTTGGACTTTTAAATTATAACGTTAAATAGGGGTACTTTAATTACCATTGTATTATGAAACGATCAAAATATTTCAAAACAGAATAAATTCTGATTTATTTATTTATTATTTTTTAGCCAATAAAATCAGTAAATATTTATCTGATAATTTTATATTAAAAAAGGTTATTCCTAAGATAATTTATTTTTTAATAAATCAATTTGACTGGTATAGAAATGCCATTTTAATATAAAATGGGATTTCTATCTTATCCCAACTCAATTATTGTTAACTCTTTTTTTATATATATAAAAAATAAATAAACAAAATAAGTAAATATTTATTTATTTATAAAATTCCAGCTTAGTTTTATTGATTAATAATTTTCTAGTATAAGAAATTAAGGAGTGAATTTAAATATTTAAATTTTTTTTAAATAATAGAAAGCAATTAAAATTAGGTTTATTGCAAAAAAATATGAGGCTCATATAATTTTTTCTTGATAAATAGACTTATCTGTTGATAATTACCTAATTATGTATTGCCTCGTTATATTTTAACAACGTACGATATATAAAATCCAATATCTACTAATTAGTTTCATTTGAAGCGCTTAGTAAAATGTGGTTATAAAATTTAATAACTAGATTAAATATTTATATATTTTTAAAACAAGATATTTTTATTTTTCCTTTTAAAACTGATAAAACAATTTAATATTGAGATACTTTTCACTGTATTTTAACAGTAAGGAGTACCAAGGAGCGCTTTATATCTTCGGGGGGCCCTGGAAAATTTGAATTTGGGGCCCCGCGTACAGTGTTGATTTCAGACATTTATCTTCGAGGGAACTTTTCGGAGAATATTTCTTCTTATAAAAGATTGGGCCTCCCGTTGTGGGGTCCCAGAATAATTTACCTTTTCGACTACAGGATAACGCTCCACCGAGGAGTAGGGCCTACTTTCTGTTGTACTAATTACTAATTAGAGGCATGTAGGGGTAAAATTACAACGATGCCGAGCGATTAGAGTAAGAGATAATGCTAGTATTACACTCTCCTTGTAAGAATGTAGTAAGAAAATTACTACACTTTAATTATACTTACATAATATTAAAGCAGTAATTAATAATAAAAGTTACAAATTACTTCATCTATAATTGAGCAATTTATAATTATAAAAATTACAATTACAATTCGATTTAGTTGTAAGAATGTAGGCGCAATAGCGTATTTAAAACTATTACAAACAATACAATTGCTTATATTAAGTTGTAAAAATACGGGCAAATACACGTAGTAAATATTTGTATTTTCATCCATTTTTACCTAAAAAAAGTAAATTTTTACTCCAAAAAATCGAAGTTCTTTACTACACTTTCTCACTCGTTGAATGTTTCTTTACTATAATTGAGACTTCCTTTTCACGTTCGACCTTCTTGCATATAATTGAAAACATTTATTTTCATGTCTTCCCTTTGTTAAAAAAAACATACCATAAATGTCCATCAGATTTAAGGAAGAATGGAAAGTTAACTTCGATTTAAACGTGATTAACTTTACAGGAAAAGTAAGAAAATGCCCCAACCACCAAATGAGTAGCTTTTATAAATCATTTATTTTTTTAAAATAAATATAAAATTTAAAGCTTGGTACACGTGTACCGGTATACCCGAACGTGTAGATAGAAAAAAAGAAAAGGTGACGGCTCTGTTAGGTTCGGGTGTACTCGGATTAAAACAATAAAAGTAGAGAAAATTAATCGAATTTTTATAGGAAAATAATGAAAAAAAAATATATATTTAATTTTTCTAGTCAATACTTAAAAGAGAAAAATTACAATTTGCAATTAAATTTATCGCATTTCGGAACACTTAAAATTGCAAATTTTCAGTAAAAACTTTGTTAATTTAAGAAAAATAATTATTTTATTTTATTTACTGACAAGATACGCTAATAAATTTTCTAAACATTTGCTTAAAATCTAATTTTAAAGCCATGCAACTTAGAAATAATTTACAAAAAAAGCTGCAAAATAGTGTAGTTTGAAGAATTTTGCAATTAAAAGTCGACTTACCTCCTCCGTTTCGGTAACAAATGTAAGGAAATCGCCAAACATTACCCAAATCCACAGCAAAACCAATCACGGCTAATAAAAATTCGATTTTTTTATCCCATGTTTCCCTGGAATCGGAAGTTTGCCTTATAGAGACTACAGTTTCGACTGTCGACGTTTTCACTTCCGTTCCGTCAACTTCCGTTTTCAGGTTCAAGTTCAGATTCTCGGAGCTCGATGACATCCTTACTTTGTGGCCGACACTACGTAACGCCCAAATATCGTTCGGGTATCTCAACTTTGTCATACCCGAGCATGCGCTATACTTACCACCAACATTATCCTTCCTATACTTTAACCCCCCTCTCGACCGACCGCCTTCGTCTTCTTAACACTTTAAACACTCTTTAATATTAATAATTAGTGATTAAAATGTAATTATTCTCCCTTAGAAAGTTCAAAAAAAGTGCATTTTTCTCGCCTAAAAGTTCTGATTTTCGCACTCTTCCACCTTAAAATTACGCTGTATAAAATTCATATAAAAAGTTAAATGCGTAAATTACGGCATAGAAGAGGGGTGGAGAACGTTCTATATTAAATTTTATACAGAAGATTAGCGTTATAGACGGGTATTATACTGTCTAGAAGTAGTATACGAAACTGTATATACGCGGTATAGGGATATTATACTATATTTTGTATAGATAATATAGCTTTAACTTTATATGCCTTTAGAATAAACACTATTATAAGGGGGAAGCGGATGAAGGACGAAGAAGGGAAGAGGATAAGAAACTAAGAAAGCCGTTTACTGTACAGAATTATGAATAAAATATTAATAAATTTACTTACAATTTAATAAAATGTATAGAAAGAAGCAAAATTCCCACTTTTAGAACTTAAAAAGTACTCGAAATTTTATTCAAAAAGTTAAAATATCAACGGAAGAAAACGTTTTTTTTTTAGAAACAAGTCAAATATTCTTAAAGACAAGATATTGATTTTATAGTCATAAAATTTCACATAAAATTCACATTTTTATTCTACTCCATCTTCTTCTTTAAGTATATAAATTTTAAAAATTATAATTCTTTTTTTTATTATGGATTATTATTATTATTATTTTTATTATAATTCCTCATCAATTTAGTTTAATATCTAGATAATGCGATGATAATATTTTAAGGTTGGATGCTCTGTTCTCTTATCCACGTCGCATCTGTTTATGGCATGGTAATGAAAAGATGTTAATAGATCCCTAGTAACTCCATTATCATAAATACTTAAAGAATTTTCCCAATTTATATTTTAAAAATTCATCAAAAAATCTCTTTTCATTCAGCCACAAATCAATAAATTATTGCGGTTTGTTTTTGTTTATTTTGTAAATTTAATTAATTTTCACAACTATATAAAATTTATTAAGTCATTTTTCTATGCAATTTTCGAATAAAAACATTATTTTAAAAAGCTACTTAATAACTGTATAAATAAACGTACAGCTAAAATACAACTGCATAAATACAACTACGCATTAATAGTTTATGATGTGGTAAAATAACGTGGAGAGGCCTCCAATCTTTTGTACGTAGGGCCTGGAAAGATCACCGATAGTAAATGATAATGACTGTTATCGGTGGCGCGTTACGGCTTTATGGGACACTGACAAATTTGAATTAGGGGGCCCCCGTATATAGTGTCGATTTCAGGCATTTTTCTTATAAAAGGTTTGGGGCCCCCTGTCGGCCAGGCCCCCGGGATAACGCGCCACCCGCATTAGTGCATAAATACATATTTTTTAACTACAACAGCTCTACTTTATACGATAAATTAACACGTGTTTTTTGGAAATATTCAGTAAAATATCTTATATAAATAGAGAATATATATATATATTTTGGTAGAGAATTTCGAGAAGGGCCTTTGTTTTACCAGAACTTATTTGATATTAGCGATTATAAGAGGAATGTTGTCCTTGGTGGGACCACGATGTTTCATCCAGTCAATTTTCCTTCTTTGCAGCTAACCTCAGATGACATCGCGACACGTAACTTAGCAACAGGCTGACGATTCCAGTGACATGGCACGTCTTGTAATTTAAGCTGTCTAACATTAAGAGGATGTCAGACATGGGACATTAAGAATATAGGCTGACTTTCGCATCCGTTAGTTGCATAAACAAGAGTCCAATTATGACTGATAAAACTGCAATTCAGTCGTTAAACGTTTAGTTGTCTTGTAAAATACTCTCCCATCTCGCCAATGTGCATTATTTCAATTTAATTATTTAACAAATTATTATTAAATTGAAGAATATTAAGCATTCGACCAAATTTAACTGCCAAACAATAGGATGTTCGATGTTGATAACTTAACGATTATCTCAAGTTTTGATGTCGTCTATTTTTAAGAATAAAGTAAAAAGAGTTTATTTTAAAAAGTTTTTCTATTATTAATTATTATAAAATGGCAAAAATGTTAATTTTTAGGGTAGAATTGAGTTTTATTACAAAAAAAATGCTAATAAGGGGTAAAATCTGCATTAAGTGATACGACACGTGACTTCCTCTATCTCCCCACCTCCTTGACGTTTAACCACTAAAATTCAGTAGAATCATTTCCCCTAACACACAAATCTCCCTACAAAATTTCAGCAATTTTTGACTAAATGCAAACGAGTTATTAAGCTTCAAAGCGGGCGAACAAAATAGTCCCCTCCCCACACACAAGCACGCGAGCAATACAAAAAAAAAATCCCTCAACATACAGAAAAATCCCCAAATACTTTTGTATTTCTCAACGTTTCGAGGAGTCCAAAAATGTAAAAATATTGGGGGGGGGAGTTATACGTAATATAGACGTAAGAACTCAATTAATTTGTACAAATATTTAAAAAAAACACCCCTATTTAAAGTTGTAAATTTCGGATGCCAATTGTATTCTCGAGGGAAACTTCGAAGTAGGATCGTAATGCCTTTAAAAGGTTTCAGGATAATGCCACATATGACAATGGCTTAACGTATTATCTTGATGGATTTTGATTAAAGATAGCAATGATATTGTTACGCGTTAATTATTCAAATCGTTCTTTATTCAAATGGAAGAATTCCCATTTCGATTTACAGTATTATTATTATTATTTTTTTTATTTATTAATAAAATATATATTTTTTTAAGGTTGTGCTAAATGGGTGAACTGTCGAACCTACTGTAATGAAACCAATAAGTCACAGACAATCTGTGACGAGTTCCTGCAAAATGTCACTTCTTGTAACAAGACCATTAAACGTTAGAAGATAACGCTAACTCACTGCAATGATCGACGATTTAACTCTTTTAAGATTTTCACTTGGACCGTTGGTCATACGACCTCTCCCTCGTCACACACTTTGTCAAAAAATTACTCGAACAAACACCATTTATATAACTTTAACACAACTTCCCCCCTATCAATTCTCTTTTTTAATTACTAAATACTACTTTAAATTCTCCAAGTTTAATTTATAGAGTTATTACTAAGCAATGCCCCTATAAAATGATTAAATACATTAATCTAATAAAGAGTAATTCATTTAAAATATGCCATTTTATGAATTATGTATTCTTATGTTATATAATTTCCAGCTGTTAAATTAGATTTATTTAATAATAATAAGTTTTAAAAATCAATTAATGCAAAATTTCAGTTAATTTTAATTAAATTGACTTCTCGTCATAATGAAATTATTCTTTCATTTCTGACAATCAAACTTTAATTATTTTTTTTTAAATTATAAATAATTTTTATTTTTAAAGCAAATTCTTTCAGATTATTGGATGTATTTTTTCGGTCTCCTTAAAGGCCCTAAATTAAACGAAATTAGGGCCTTTAAGGGGGATTATATTAGCTCCCGCTACTTCGTGACGTAGTCAATAGTCACGTATGTTCTTACATTCTTATCAGTGCTTCGTGGGGCTCAGGCAAATTTGATTTAAAGGGCCCCGTGTACAATGTCGACTTCAGACATTTTTCTTCGAGGGAATTTCTTCAGGGAAATATTTTCTTATAAAGGCTTGGTTTGGGACTCCTCGTTGGTGAGGCCCCCAGCCGATTGCCCTTTTTGCTCACGAGATAACGCGTTACCCGAGTCCTCTTGGGAGGAACCCTCTGACATTGGGTTGCCATATCCAGCAAAACAAAACCTCGAAGTATATTCCTTACTCCTTTGCTTGTCGACTCCCTTCCGAAATTACTGTTAATTCTCAGAACATTTTAAAATATTGCGTAAGAAGGATAAATCTGTACGTCAACTCGAACGATCCCTGTTAGTTTATCGACCCCTCCGGATAGATCGATTGACCAATCGGGAGGTCGATAGCCACCAGTTTGGCTACCCCTTATCTAGATGAACCCATTTAACCAACCAGTGGGTCGCAATCTACCGAATCTATTGGTAAGATTCTAATTCGGCCCCTACGATAACGGGTGGATCGTAAGCTACTATAGGCCGTCTTCGGGAAACCAATATTAAATAATTAATACAAGATACATAATATTCTATGTATAAATCAATAAATATAAAAGTTTTAAAGTTTCAAAATCGTTTTTAATGGCTTTGGGCCTAAATTTCCGTCCACAGACTCTTATCTATAGATTTGTATATGTTCGGCTTACGGCTATATCGACAGTAAGTAGTACAGGGGTAAACGTAGGTTTGCACTAAGTAATTGGGGCTCCCTAATATCGCTTGTGATGATGACATTACGCATTAATTCTCTAGACGAGGGTGAAGCTTTTAACTACGTGACAGTCGAGATTATATAATAAAACCTATTATTAGTAATTTATTCTTAGAATATATATCTATAACTTTTGCATAATCATCAATTGAACTAGCAAATTTCTTCTCTCCATTCATTTACAGTTCTGACGTTTATCAGGATCAATAATCAAAAGTGTCAAATCTATGGTGACCCGAGAATACGTTTAGATAAGAGAATGACATTTTTGCCCTTTACTTTAATAATATTATCATACATTAAAAGTTTTATGACTATAATTAGATGCTCCTTAATCATTTATATTCATTAATTAATTATTATTGACATTTATTATTTACTTTACTACGACTTTCTTCTTTAAAATGGTGATGCAAATTACTTATTTACAAGATTTGAATTTTTTTCTCCTCTGTACACATCTTTGTATGAGGTGCGAGAACGTCACGGTGAATAACTTATGAAAGGACTTTGATTACCAGTACGGGTCAG